GATTTTTATTTGCCCATTCAAAGCATTTTTTTAGAGTTTCGTCTTGTTCTTGATGTGTCTTGAATTCTAGTCTTACCCTGTTCGTTGTTTTCAGAGACTCTATGTTTTCTTGGGAAATCTGATTAACAACAGCCAAATTTGTGGTATTGTCTTCAACTGGTGAGGGTTTATCATCTGTCTCTTTGTACTCTAAGGGGGATGCATCCCAATAACGATCACTGTTCCACAGTTCGATATTTCCACAGAGTGTTTCATAAGCTGAAGAACTCAATAGCAAGTCGGTAACTAGCTTTTTTGAAACAGCACACGTAATGGACACTCTACCGTGAAAATCATCGTCAATTTTCATCTGGAAAATCTTTAGTGGAGTAATTTCGTTTTCACCCAAAAGCAGAAGATATCTCTATTTTACTTTCTCCTTCGCAAGGTATGTTGTCAACCAATTTCTCACGGACTACTGAAATTTGTGCTCCCGTGTCTACGATTCCATTTAGAATAATATCTCCACATTTAACTTTGACAAGTTTTAATTCATCTATGTTTCTAGATACGTCCACTGATTTTGAGACAGGAATAGAGATCTTGGCAGTTAGCACTTCTGGTTTTTCTTTTTCTGCAAGGGGTGCTTGTGTTTGTATTAAGTTGTTTTGTGCTGTTGCAGAAGCACTTCTTGGTATCCGATTTTTGGTACATAACTTAGATGTATGACCTTCTTTTCCACAATTATATCAAGTTAGTTTGAAACTAAGCTTTTGTGGTTCGTCACTCTTTCGGGATGGGTACACTCTTGGTGTGTTTTCAGCGGACAGCGACTTATTTCTGAAAGCTCTTTCTAGAAGTGGAGAATGAGGTTGCCATTTTTTATTAGTTCTGTCTGCTGATGATGGATTACCACCAGTCCGTTTTGAGATATTACGAACACTGTCATATTCGTCAAGTTTATCAGCTAATTTGGTTGGAGAAACGAACTTCGCCCAGTCGTCAAGAAGATGGTCTCTTACTTCATAGGGTACTCTTTTCTTAATTTGGTCAGTAATAATCAAGTCTTTTAACGCGGCAAAATTTGTGATTTCAAGACCATTGATCCATTCTTCAAAATAACTTGTAATTTCGTAGCAAAAATCTCTCCATGATTTTTCAGCGCTCTTTTGGTGCATCACAAATTTTTTTTCTAAAGCTTTCAGGATTTAATTTAAATCTCTTCAATAAAATGGCCTTAATGTACTCATAATCTTCAAAATTTTCTTCAGATTCCCTATCAATTAATTGAATGATTTCAGATGGCATTAAAGTCAATAAACATGAAACCCAATCTTTAGGATCAATCTTTGTCCTTTTAGCTTGTCTTTCAAATAAGGATAAATAAATCACAATATCATCGTGTCTTAAATTGAATTTGGGAATAAGCTTAATTAAATCAAAATTATGATGTCCATTTTCATTTGTTGGTGGAGTTTGTGTTAGTCAAACACGAATTAATTAAGATTATGAAAAGTTAATTATTATTTCGTCAAATCAGTTTATTTACGAAAGTTCGTCAATTAAAGTAATTGAATCGAGTACGAGATTCAATTTCGAGTTTCCTCAATTCAAACTCCATTTGCTCTCTTTTCTGCTGTGCTTCTAATTCTTCTTTCTTTCGTCTTTCCTCAATCTCTTCTTTTCTTCGCCTTTCCTCAAGCTCTTCTTTCTCCTTTCTTCGCTGTTCCTCAATCTCTTCTTTCCTTCACTTTTCCTCAATCTCTTCTTTCTCCTTTCTTCGCTGTTCCTCAATCTCTTCTTTCTCCTTTCTTCGCTGTTCCTCTTCTTTTCTTTTCCTCTCTTCAATAATCGTTAAAAACACTTCTTTAGCAAATGCTTCATCATATGTATCACTTTGAATTATTTCATTTTTTATCGCCACGATTTTCATACTTGGATCTACTTGAATTTCTAATTCAGCAGCTAAAGCCAGCAAATCCTCTTTTTCCCACGTCCCATAAAAGCCATGTCTCGATTTTATTCAGCCAATAGACTCTTAGTTTTATTTAAAAAAAAAAAAAAATTCTTTTCTTTTTCTATTTAAATATAATTCACAATGAATTTAATTTTATTCGGCACGAAAATCAATCAGTGGAATCAATACTTAATGTGTTGTTCACCTACTCTGGCGAGTCAAACGAAATTACATTTGAACACTGGCGTATTCATTACTTTGACAAGTAAATAAACTAAGATTCCATGACGGAAACAATAATTAACTTTTCATAATCTTAATTAATTATTTTACGTTTACAAGGTAAATTGAGCTCTCACCTGAGTTATTTTGGTTCGTAATTATATGCGGGGAAATCCCGATCCTGTCGACTGCGCCAGTAAAGATCCTTTCCTTATTTCAATATAATGAATATTGAATCTTGTAGGAAGAATAAAGTTAATTTTTCAGAATAAACAAAATACTTTTATTTAAATTTTAAAACAGAACAAAAAAAAAAATAAATAAATAAATACTGCAGCTCTAAACTATCAAAATTTTAAACTCTTAATTACTGCAGTTAAAACTCTTACAACTATTAAAAAATACTCCAAATCTTAAACTCTCTAAAAAACAAAATATATAAAAATCTTCCGAATCCTCTTCTTGTTGCCACACCATAAAATGCAAGTTCTTGTCCTATTATTTATATTTCACGTTCTCTTTAAGTCACGATCTTTATAAGTCATGATCTTTACAAGTCACGATCTTTACAGCATCTACACTCATGTCCAAAATTACCTTTACATACCCAAAAATGGTGATATTCAATGAAATATCGAATCAATGTGATCCGTATTTGCAGGGAATGTGTGAAAACCAAACCTAATTAGCATTATCCAATCAAAAGTAATCAAACGGTTTGTGATATGCAAATCTAGGCATTACGTCATCCAAGGATGAATCAAGCGCTTTGCGCAAACTGAATATTTGAGTGAATTTCTGCAACATAGCGTTTGATTTCAGTGTGTAGGGACTCAAAGCTGTTTGTTATGGCTTCGAAGTATCATTTGGAAGAATCTGTAAAGTGGTGAATTATCGGCCGTTTAGAAGCAGGGCAGTCAATCATGGAAACAGCCACATGTCTGAATATTTCAAGACAGACAGTCTCTAAGCTATGGAAACAGTTTCAAAATGATGGAAGTGTTGTAACAAGGCCTGGACAAGGTCGGAAAGGAATGACAACTGCTTCTGAAGATCGGTATCTGGCATTAACTGCCCGTCGTAACAGAAAGGCTACTGCTCGCCAGTTAAGTTCAGAGCTTGCAGCCGCCACTGGAACTGTTGCATCACGGCAAACAATATACAGAAGGCTTAATGAAAAAGGCCTTTATGCCAGAAAGCCAAGGGTATGTATTTTACTGTCTTCACAGAAAAAGTGGGATCTCTTTAATTGGTGTAAAGAACATCAAAACTGGACTGAACATCAATGGTCCCATTTTCTCTTTATTGATGAGTCGCGGTTTAGTTTAACTGGTGATTCTAAACGTGTTTACATCTGGAGGGAGTCAGGAACACGAAATGATCCCTCGAACATTGTGGAACGTGACCGTTTCGGTAGTGGAAGTGTGATGGTATGGGGTGGAATAATGATCGATGGACGTACGCCCCTACACGTGTTCAGCAGCGGATCTGTGACAGGCCAGATATATCGGGATGAGGTCTTAGATCCTTATGTAAGACTTTTCAGGGGTGCATATGGACCTGACATTTTATTTATGGATGATAATGCCCGTCCACATCGAGCAAACCTCGTTGATGAATTCCTTGAAAGTGAAGACATTAAGCGAATACCTTGGCCACCAAACTCTCCTGACCTTAACCCGATAGAGAACTTATGGGACTACCTTGGAAGAGCAATTGCACATTTACATCCTCCTCCTAGAGATGTAAATGCTCTGAAGACGGCATTGCTGGAAGAGTGGAGATTAATTCCCCAAACTGTGGTTAACAACGTTATTTCCAGCCTTAAAGCACGTTGTGATATGTGTGTACAAGTCAGGAGAGATCATATTCCATATTAAATTCGTAAGACTTAATTCTTTTTCTGAATCATTCCTTTTTTTCTTAACTCTCTTTGTCACACTTTATTACCATTTTTATTGTTTCCTGCTACAATTTTATATCATATGAGGTGATCTTCAATTTTTTCTTTTTGCATTTATGTGTCATCATGTTATGTATGATTCCACGAAAATTCATTAAATTATAAGTCATAGTCTCTGAGAAATCCGTGAATTTATGCATGTAAACATAATTTTGAACATGAGTGTATTTTGATTTTAGTCCATGTGCTGGAACTATCCGCTATAACAGTCTCTATTCTAGTTAACTGAGCTTTTAGTGAGCCTTTCTTTCGATTTAAATCAACTATAGTGACCATTTATACTAATACGAACTTAGTTAACAAAAACAAAACAAGCTCCGCGAGCGGACCATAAATTTTGTTTGGTATAAAATGCGATGAGTTTCAATAGATAATGGCGCTGGTTCCAAAATAAAACTAACTCAGTAGGCCATACAAATATTTAATTATTTACATAATGTACAAGGTTACAAGTTAGGTGCTCCATTAGCACAGACAAAGGGGAACGAGCGAACGCACCATAGGTCCGCTGCGTACATTCTTTAACGGCCAACTCAACTAAATTTGGCTCCTCTCACAAGAGGGCGCTATATTAAACCGAACAGCAATTTTTATTTAATATTGAGGATTGTGAATAATCAAATATTAAAGGGATGAGGTTAGTATGGAATATTGCACTAAATCCATATTAAATCATCAGATTGCATATCCTGTGCTGAATCATGTAGTATTTAAAAGATTAATGGATGTTTTGTGAGAAACTTCTTATATTAATTCTTCCTATGTTTTTTCATCAGTATTTCTTATTAGTCATTATTGTATAATAAGAGTTATAAATGTGTAAGTAAATTGCATTTCAATTAATTAAATATTTATTACTTATTGTTAATGCATTTCCAGCTATATAGTAAGCATTGGAATAGTAGACAAACTTTCTCAGTACTTCAATAGTGTTCAAGGTCTTATAAATAATGAAACTGAAGTTGCTGATTTCCTTTTGGACTGCATTAATTTTCTGACTGCTATCATAAAAGTGTATTCTGATTGGTAAGTACAATAAAAATTAATTTTTAGTAATGAAATTTTTTTGTTACGTTTAATTTTTGTATAAGCTGTGAAAAAAAGAACTCGCTAATTTGGGAAATTAATAAATCCAATTTATTTATGATAGGAAAATTTTCTTTCTATTCACTGAAAGTTCACATAATGTCATTTTACATTATTTTTTTTCTTTGTTTTATACAAAACATCACTCAGTAAATGGCTTCCATTATGTATGCACTGATGTGGAACCTTTATCAATAGTTGTCCAAGATTTTTAGAAGTCCTTTAGAATTGTAATGGCAGCTGCTTTCTATTATATTGCCTTCTTCAGACCTTTTTAAGTTGGACACACATCCAATGGTAATTTTTTGGGGGGGAGGGAGGGTCAGAAATAGTGTCTTAACCAGGTGCGAAGTAGCTGTAAAAGGCCTGCTATGTTGCTGTTGTCAGTCTGCCATTGTTTATAAACTGCACTACGACAAAAGTGCAATGTTCTCCTGACAAAGCTATGGTTATTCGTGTCGCTATTCAGTGGTACATTCCTGATCATTGTATCCCCTCCTGAACCATAGGTATGCTACTTTCAAATCGGGGAGTTCTTTCTGCTGCGCCCTCTATATATAATAAAGTATTGAGTTATAATCATCAATGTTAAAGTGCTTTTTACACACAGAAAATGTAAAAGGATATACATTTAATAAGCAAAATTAAATATGGATACTTCTAATTATAAAAAAGATTTTCAAAAAAATGAGGTAGAGAATTTTATAATCCTGGACTTTTCAAAGCTATTGGTAAAAAAAGGTTTCAGGTTTCCTAATTTCTTTACAAATTCAGTAAGATCCACTTAATTAATTTTTCACATTTAACTGTAATAAATATTATTGTTTTCTTTTAATTTATGAAAGTATGATAAATATTTTACTAAGAGGTTTTTTAAATCAGTAGGATCTGTAGAAATTTGCTGTTTATGGTTGGTTTGATATGTATCTTGTGACTGCTGAGTATCAGTGAGTTTGTAGTACAGTACAATGTCTTTAATCCGGACTCATCGGGACTTTGGCGATTCCGGATTAGGGGTTTTCCGGATTATATATAACCAATTTAAATCTGGTAAGATTACATGCAGAAATTATAAAATTAAGAATATGAAACCATAATTTATGAAATAAAGAGCAATTATGATCTAAAGGGTATCAAAATTTACAAAAAAAGCTTAATATTTATTTGTTTACTTTATTAAACATTTCTTTCAATGTAAGTTGCTTCGTTTTATGTGCTAATACTTTCTCTTTAATTCTATAAACAGACATAATTTCTTGTTCAGTTACAAAGTTCCGCAGTTCAAGTCCTATAATTGCTGTGCTGAGAGTACCTACTAACTTGTCAATCAAAATTTTTTCGTTTTCTTTAACTTCTCTCACTTTCTTCATCCCCTTTATCCATTTTTTGCAGCAATTCCACTTTTTGTTTGATGGACTTCGAAACAAGCTTTCGCTTTGTAGATCCTTTGGCAGCTCAAGAATCGGAAACTTTTTTTGACATAATCGAAAGTTCAAGCTTACTTTTTATAAAATTGCTCTAACAGTCTGCAAAAAATAATAATAAGCCGGATCCAGTTAGAAGGTTAAGGAACAATGCAATCTGCAACATTAACTGAAATAGATAATTAGATAATTTTAGCCTAGCTTATACCGTCCGTTATACATTAAACGCGCATGCATAAAACATATTATGTGCATGTGTAAATGCATTATGCTCATGCACAAAGGTATTATGCGCATGCGTAAACGCTATACATGCACAGAAAGTTTGTAGCTTTGAGGTCTGGATTATAGATCATTCCGGATTATGGACGTTTGGATTAAAGACTTTGTACTGTTTCAGTTTCAGCTTATAGACAAGCAATTAAGCAACTGGACTAAAATGTTTAACTGATAGCATGTGGCAAGTCTAGATGAAAAGAGTAGTTTACATCATGTCCTTTGTCATTAATTTGTAGCAATTCCCTGTTACATTTTTGTTGATGTGTTATGGTGTTGGTGTTTATTGATGGGATTTTGAAATGCTGTAGTTTTTATCATCGAATATCAAACCATGGACTTTTGGTTTCAAAATTGAGTATTTTAGCAGCTGAGCATACTCTAAGTGTAGGTGCTAAATGCATCATATCATCCCTGCAAGCAGTTGAGATTACTATAGGACCATGTAAAAGAGTTAAATTTTATAGTTTTAATACTATTCTGACCCCTACAGTGTAAAACTATTTGTTGTCTATGCCTTACTTCAAGAAATTATTAATTGCAGATACATGTCTAGCACTATTTAAGGAAATAAAGTTGTAGCCATTTTTTGAATACCTATGCAAAAGGAGAATGAATTCCATTACAAAGTATAAAATTTAGAAATTTTTAAGATCTGTAAAAGCAATAGTAAGATTAATTCTGAGAAAATTTTTGGTGATTATAAACAACTTAATTGACATCAACTTCTAATTAACGTAATTTTCTAAGAGCAAATTGGGCTGAGAGGATGTGCATATAAATTATTATTAAATTATCTGTAGAAATTGAAAAGTATGATTATCATCATCTTGTTTTATGACCTCACAACTAATGAAAGTTCCTATGGAGATACACTTTTAAGTATACTCCTGTAAGATAAAGTATGTATATTATTATAAAATAAAGTATCTTATATACTCTTATAAGATAAAGTATTTTATGGTATACTCTTATGATAAAGCATGTATATTATTATAATATAAAGTGTCTTATCACATGCTCTTATAAGATATGGTATGTATATTGTTGTAAGATAAAGTATCTTATTGTACACTTTTATAAGATATAGTATGTTACAGAAATGTATGTATCTGTGTATTTTAATTATTTTTTAAATCAAATCAATTCTGAACATTAATTTGCTATTCATTATATTTTCTAATAAAGTTTCAGTTCTGTGCCAAACAAGAAAGCTGATGACTCAACACATTTGATTGCTACATTTAAAGTTACTAATATGGTTGGAACTCTATCATTTTTATATGGACTACTTTTACATAGTGGGGCTTCCTCTCGGGGAGAAACTCCATCTCCACAGTTGCCAAAACAAGTTGAAGTATTGGCAGTATCAACTCTTCGCATGTTAAATCATATGGCTGTTATGAATCTACAAGCATTTCAGGTAAATAAGTATAAATTATCATGAATTTTGAAAAATTTGAGTTTAAGTGTATAAATTTTTAGATACAGTTTGATATCAGTATGGATTATAATTTATTTTTGAATTTTAACCTTTCAAGTGGCTTGTTTATATATGCATGTGTTATTTTTAGACCCTTAATGTACCATAAAAAATCAGAAAATAGTCATTTTTCTGCCATTTTTTCTTTATTTTATTTTTATACAAAAGAACATTAACAATTCATATAAGAAAAACTCATTTCTTTTTTTTAATTTGAAGAGAAAATACGTGAATGTTCCCTGCTTTGGATTTTGATTCTTTTCTGTTATTAATATGAGGAATGGAAAATGTCACACATATAGTCTCAGTAGTATTAGAATATCTGATCAGCATCCATTGCTTGGGTTAATCCATTTTATTGTCAGATTTTTGATAAAGCACAAAATTATTCCACGGCCTAAGAAATGAAGAAACATCTTTTTATAATACTTCATGCCTTCCTACCTGGATGCAACATGGAAAGATAGATGTTGATCAATGTGATCAACGCATATGGTTATAATCCAACATAAGTTACACTCTTTATTCCCTTTAATCACCTATCTACCATTCATATAGTCCATTAATATGAATTACAGAAATAAGAGAGATATCTTTCTTGTCTTTCACTACATTGCACAAAGTTACAGACAAAACCATCATGGACAAAAACATTGCGGAGAAATAAATGCAAAGCGAAAGGATCGCCATACACTACATTGTGGGAGAAGAAAAGCAAGGGAAAACTTCATCTCCATCTCATCATGCTATAGGATATAATCATAAAAAATAAAGCAAGAGCGTTTCAGTTTTAAAACATCATCATAAGAAATAGAGCTCTTACAAATCATTATATGACAATAATGTCATAGATGTATTCTTCAGGTTTTAAAAGTTGTAAATAAATATTTGCATATTGATTTGTGAACATGTGAAAGAACGAGGAATGTTGTTACCTCTGTATTTCATTAATTTAGATACATTAATTAATGTTTTACTAAAAAAAAGCAAGAATGAAACTTCAGCATTCAAAACCTGAAAAGTAAAAAATTAAGCCTACATCTAGCAGTTAATAGAATTTTAAATTTATGTACTTAACCATTAAAAGTCATTATTTAATTAATCTCTTTATGAAGTTGTATTGGTAGTTTTTCGTAAAAAATATTGTCTGAAAAACTAGAAAAAGGAAGATGAGTTATTGTATGAGCTTGCATTGTAGAGACATTAGGTTAATTGGAAGACAGAGAGATGAAAAATATGCAACCGCCTTCGCCGGGAATCGAACCATGGACCTCTGGAATACCGGCCCAGCGTGCTACCGTTACACCACGAAGGCACGCTAGGGAAGTGGGAGAAATACCTTATAGCATATATTAAAATTATTTAATTAATTATCAAATTGTAAAATTATTTTTTTCATTTTGTTAATCTGGTATTCTTTTAGTAAAAATTAAATCTTATTTTCCTTTATTTAGTTGAATAATTTTAATGTAGATGATCTTATTCAGTTACTTATCATTCCTTTTCTAATATTTTTAGATTATATTTTTGTGATGAAAAACTACCAGTACCGCTTCATGAAAGAGATTAATTAAATGGTAGCTTATAATAGTTAAGCATATAAATTTAAAATTCTGTTGTGGGGTTTCTCTTAGTTTAAATAACCACTTATTCTAATTTTTGTTATCTTTTCTGAATTCCTCAAGTTCCCCTCACATTTCCTCACCAAGATGCAAATTTAAGTGAAGAGGGTATAAATACAGATGAAATTAAAAGTTTATTCAGAGCACGATTTAGCTAGCCTAGCCCGCTTTGCTATTTTGATCTTGCTGCTGTTACGCTGAGTTGCTGGTACAGCTTTTGGCCATTTAATAAGTCTTATCGCCAGGTGCAATGGTTGAGTCAGCCTTGTTAGCCTTAAACTGTTAGTCCAGTACTACTACTTATCTTTGAATTTATTGTTAAATTATTAAGTTCCTCCTGCTAGTAGTCGGTGTTATTGTGAGCATGAAGTAGGTCCATTTTGTTAAGAGTTTTTGATGAATAATAAAGGATTGTTTTACCCTTCTTCTGTGCTGGTACTATTCACGCCAGTGGGAGAAGTCGCCAGGTTTCCTAGTAAGACCAGTCTAACTGTGTGATAGCAAAGAAGGTTAGATCTTACCCTGTTAACTGCTATACATAGGACTAATTTTCTACTCATTTTCAGTTTTTGAATGCTAAATTTTTTTCTTGCTTTCTAGCAGAAAATTATCAATTAATCCAAAAATATGAAATATAGAGGTAAAAATATTTCTCATTCCTTCTTGCCTTCACACATCGTTATGCAGATATATACACTGACTACCAATAAGTATTTGGACACCTGTGATAGAAAAGAAAAACTAACTTTATTCAAAATCAATAGTTGGTAGAGCCTCCACGAGAGGTAATTACAGCGTGGACCCTCCGGAACATACTTTCCACAAGTCTTTGTATGACAGCTAGTGGTATTTTCTTCCACTTGGCTTGGAGAAGACATAGAAGTTCCTTCACCGATTTTGCACGGGTAGTGCACCCCTGAATTCGGCGATGCAACTCGTCCCAGAGGTTCTTGATAGGGTTCAGGTCTGGACTCTGGACAGGCCAGTCCATTCGATGAACTCCATTGGCACCATACCAAGCCTTGGTTAACGTCAAAACATGACAACTGGCATTGTCGTCCTGAAAGTAAAAGGGGTCCAACCCGTAAAACTGCCACAACGTAGGAAGCACATTGTCATCCAAAATAGTGCAGTAGGCATCGGAGTTGAGCTTACCATGAATGGGGACCAAGGGTCCCAGCCCATACCAGGAGAAACACCCCCAAACCATAATTCCACCTCCGCCGAACTTGACTGTTGGCACAATGCATTCTGGCAAAAGACGTTCTCCAGGTAGACGCCAGACCCAGACCCTGACCCTGCCATCCAAATGGTAAAAGGTGAACCTTGATTCATCACTCCAAAGAACCAGTTTCCACTGATCTACGGTTCAATTTCAATGTGGTTTGCACCACATTAACCGAGCAGCGCGGTTGGACTTTGTGATCAAAGGCTTATGGGCAGCAGCACGACCATGAAAACCAAGCAGATGTGCTTCCTTACAGATGGTATTCATTGAAACAATACTCCCGGATGCCTGTTGAAACTCCTCACGGATGAGAGCTATCGGTTGGGTATGGTTCTTCCGAATTTCTCTGAAGATCACACGTCGGTTTCTGTACCCCAGTTTCGTTGGTCTTCCGACTCGGGGCACATTCTGACAATCACCGCTCACCTTCCACTTCGTAATCACATAGGCCACTGTCGATATTGGGTACTTCAGATTGCTAGGTATGTCCCTTAAGAATCAGCCACATTTGTGATACCCGATAATTATACCTTTCTCGAAATCAGAGAGCTCCGAAATGCGAGGCATCTTGCATGTGACTAAAGCCGATGCTGTTTCCTACACGATATATACCGGTGGAGTCCGTGACATACCTTGAGACTGCAAATATCGTCATTTGCATAAGTGTCCAAATACTTATTGGTAGTCAGTGTATATACAACTTGAAAACATACGAAAACCTGAAAAACACATGTCTGCAATGTTATCATCATGCAATGGTTTGTAGGTGCTTCATTTTTATCATGATGTTTTAGAACTGGGATGTTTCCTTCTTAATTTCTCTTCTCCCATAATGTTTTTTATGACAATGATTTCTTCTTGCACTATTTTCTCTGCAGTGTTTTCAGTGACACCATTACGCAGACATTTTCTTTCTCAAAACCAGTTACTTCTCCAGTTTCTTATTTTTTAGCTATCTGGATAACTCTTTTCATTATATGCTTAATGTTTCATAAAATGAATCTTTTTTGTTTCAATAGATTATCCAATTGAAGTGAATTATGCAAATGTGTAATGTCAAACAATAACTATTTTCAATAATGAGTTTGTGAACATCATCACCACTTTCAGAGATTGCTAAAATCAGTGTTCAGAACAGAATTCTTTCCAGTATACAACATAAATCATGTTTTGTGTTTAACATGTTTTGTGATTCACATAATAAGAATGTTTTTATGCCAAATCAGGCTCTTTTAAAAGTACTGTACTATACTCATCTCAGATTATCTTTATAAAGCAATGAACTTTTTCATCAGTAGTCATCAAGTTTTCCTGGTGTAAGTTCTAATCAACTAACTAATGAGGAGTTTATTGAATTAGCACAGGAAGAGAAATAGAGAAAGGAGATAAAGAAATTAAAGTGGGAAAAAAATTTACCACAAAGGCTTTATCTGAATGCTTTACAATCCTAAATCAAATTTCTGACAAGTATCCATGTATTCAGACTCTGAAAGAAAGGCAAGAGTCAATAAAATGGCAGATGAAGTTTTATGCCAGTATCATTAACTTTATGATGAAAAGAAAAAGCAAACAGTTCAGAGAAAACTAGCAATGTTTATGAAAAAGCCTGATCAACAAATCGAAAGTTGAGCTGCAATAACATTCTTAATTGACAACAGTCAAGCTCCTACTAGGGATACTGCAAGCAATTAAGAAGATCAGTTTTCCCCAATAAATAAACTTTGTACCTATGCAGCAATTAATTTCAATTTTTCCCCTTTTATTTTTTAATTGAAATCGGAATCGTTAATCTGAACTAAATGGAGTCAAAATCCAATGAGCCAGTACATTAATAAAAGTATGAATTAATTATAGAGATAAATGGTGAATTCTCTAACAAAAATAAATAAGTAAATGCATGGAAAAGCAATCTTTCATATAAAACAAAAACAAAGTTAAATGAAACATTACATTGCAAATTTTATATAATGATTTTAAAAACATTTACGTAATATTTATTCACTGAAGTCTGTCTGACCCCTCAGAGACACATCACTAGCAATACTTTCAGTAATTTTTTAATCATGTTTTTAAATTTGAAGCTTTTATATTTTTATATAAACATTTTAATTTAAGCTGCTCTATTTGGTTTAGTGATTAGCAGTGCTAACAGAAATATCACTGGGGCTGGTTTGAATTCAGAAGGAATAGATTGTTTGTAGCTTTTTTCCCACCCTTCTAGTAGATGTAGTAGTTCAGTCTATTCCTTGTAGCGTAACCTGGGTAACATTCCCACTTACGGAAGATGGCTTACACAACCGATGAATTTGACCATTCCTGACTTATACATAACAAGAAAGTACCTAGGCATTGGGGGAGAAATTTTAATCTAAGATTAATCACTTTCTTTTTTTCTTCTTTTTTTATTTTTATTTATTTATTTTAAAATATACATAGATATGTAGATCTGTTCTTTTTTGCAACAATCATGTTACTGCCCTCAAATTTCAACTCCAATTTGATATCAGTGTGATTCACCCTGTTTTTGATTAAAACAGCAACAAAAAAAAGTATTGTTTTTGGTATCATTTTACCTGCAGAATATACCATTTGCTCAGAAAAAAAGTGGAAAATTAATGTGAGCAATAGAGAAATGGGATGAATAATTTAAAAAAAAAACCTATTTTGTGATCTGAAGAGAGGAAGAGAAGTATATCCATATATTAAGGATGTATGGAGTAGTCTGGGAAAGAGAATTTGTTGTGGTTATCATCTGCATAAGCAGTCCAAGACTTGATAACTAGTTGTGTAAAAGAATGAGCCAGAATTCTTTTATTTCACATTTGACTCAATAACTGCATATCTTCTAGATCTGCAGCATTGCTTTTTGTCAGTGAAAATCATACCATCTATCTTTTTGTATCATATCCATCTTTTTTTTAATCTAATTTTTTTATAATAGCAAAACTATTCAACAGTTTCATCAACTGAAATGTATTAAATTTGATTTGCTCATTTTTAGTCCATATTATAGTTCCATAGCTAAAGCGTACTGTACATATATGTATGGTTCATATTTCATCCTCCAAAATTTTGTGCTATCTTCAGTTTAGGTCCAACTAAATGAATCCAAATAAGTCTTAATTTTCTTACTAACGCAATAAAGCCTACTAGTTCTAATTATTCAGTTTTTTTTTTTTTTTTGCTTCACTTTGGGCATATTGAAGGGTAATTACATTAGCAAATATTGTTAGTACTTATAAATGCTGTATATAAATCATTTGACTGTATATTATGCATCACATGTTTTGTTAAACTATTCAAAAAATTAAAATTTTGCCTTTTAAACAAATAAAATTATTTTCATTAGTTTTTCACACTTCATCTTTATTTCTGTAATTTGAGTTTGAAAAATTATTAATACACAATGTACAATGTGTATTTTTAACTTTTTCAAAAAATAGGTGTAAATTTTATTGCCAGGTTTAGTAAATGTTTTGGTATATTCTTAAGCTATCGATGTAAAGGTGCTAAGCATTTCCTTCTTAACTGTCCATTAAAAAATCAAGAACTTCGCAGGAAGTTTCTTTGGAGTTATACAATTAATCTGTATTTTTCCATTTTAAAAATTGTGTAACAAAATTTTATTAATTGCAGAGCATTATGGGATCTGAAGGTCTGTCACTTCAACTACGACATATAACTAGTCATTTGTTGTGGTACTGCAGCCATTGGGCTTCTGACGTGCTTCTTCATGAAATCATACTTCTCGTAGGATATTTCACTGTCCTCAATCCTGATAACCAGGTATTACTGAAATTTCATTTATTTTAATCTCAAGGAGAAAAGCAGAAATATTTTCAAAGTATCTTTTAAAAATAATTTAAAATTTTAATCCACGTATAATTTCAGTTTTGCTTATATTTTATGAAATTAGCCTAGGAAAAAATTACAAACTTAGATAAGCAATTTCGTTTTCTGTATGATCATTATGAAAAATGTCTATGCATATTTATGCTAGATATTGTAAGGTATTAACATCTAAATTGTTTGTTTAAATTTGCAATTTCTTTAACACATTTGAACCTGAATAACCAATAAAGCACAAACAACCTGAATATATTATACAGGTATAACAAAAATTTTAACAAAATATGATGAAATTTTAGATTTTACTTACATACATAAAAAATAATAACAATAGTGCTAAGGGAAAATTTAAATTTGTATTTATTTTCTGCTTGAAATCTGAAGGACGTTTGCTTACACTAAATTTACACTATTTAATTCAAATGTGTTGGTAGATAATTATTAAATTTTCAAACTGATATTTATTTTCAATAATTCTAATATGTTGAATTAACCACTGAATTACTTACTTAAACTAAAGAAATTATGAAAACTTTCCAAATCAGACAAAATTTGATGATAATTAATGGCAACATATTCGTTTTCTGTTATTTATCAAATATTTGTTTGATGCATACAGAAAAAATATATATGTTTGTAAATATTATATACTTACTATCTTATATACTATGCTTTTTATCTTACTATAGTTTGACACTTGATAACATTTGATTCTGATAAAAGTTTGTAGCCTTGGAAAAAAATGATTAGAAACTGTCTTCATCACAAACTATAAATTCTCATTGGCCAGTCAGGTTTCTTTCCATAGATTTATTAATTTTCAACTTCTGTAAAACTTCTGTTCTGTTCTTCTTCTGTTCTTCAACTTCTGTTCTGGAAAAAAAGATCTGTTCATATATCCCAAACAAAATAAATATTCTTATTGTAAAAATTCGTAACTGAGTGTATTTATCTTATGACAGATACAAATAAAAGTTCATCAAATCTCTAATAAAATTTGTGATTTAAATTAACTCCATTTGTAGATAAATTTTCTGGTGCAGTATTCATGTTCCTTTTGTGGTAATGAAAATAATATAATATCAAGCTTCAAATCATTTAAAATTTTAGGTCTTTCTTCATATGATGCCCTCCCTTGTGATTTCTCTTTTGAACTAATACAGCAGAATTTCAGATGTAGAAAATATTTTGATTTTAGTTATCTTCCCATAATTGCAATTTAAGACATATAAGCATATATTTAATTTATTTAAGGAAAGAATAATAAGTTTATTCTTTTCTTGCAGCTATTTATTGAGAATATTTAAAATAGCCAGTTAAGTCAACAAGAAATGTTAAATATGTTTTCCATATATCGCTACATAGCTTGTGGTTGGTTTTATTTATTTCTTTAATTTCTGTGTTTTATGTGTAGGTGTGTCGGAAAAATTTTCATCTCTTTTATTGAATCGGAAAAGTGTTTTAATGAAGCTTTTCAACCTAATCGCCTCATCTTACTTCATTGTACTAAGTTGTTTCTTTTTACTTTCAGTTTCTCCAAGAAATGCAGCAAATTCTCAATGACTCGGAGCTTGTTTGTTTATAAATAAAGTTTATCTCTCTCTCGATATTACATTTTTTACCAACTATAGCAGCTGTATTATCATTTGCAAACCAACCATTTTATCCCAAGTTAATTTATATTTATTTATTAGTTTTTATTCCAAAAAAATCATGTTGTGCACGAAAGTTTTCTTTCATAGAAATTATTTCCAATAATTCCTCAATTACTTTAAATTCATTAGGAATACCTCTTGCGAAAACATCAAGTTGTGCTGTACCTGTGATGTTTGTACTCTCATCAAGTGCTATTGAAAATGCTGCAAAATTTATATATATATTTTAAACTCACAGAATAAATTACTAGCGATGTTGTTAATACATTACATTCTGTGTTGGCTCAGAAATTAGTATTTTTAAATTGTTTATCTGACAAAAAAAGTTCAGCAGACTTAGTCATACATCTTTAAAGAATTAACAATCAGTAACTGGTTTTAATTGTTTTGCAGTGATGTGCATAAGAGCAAAACTTCCATGAATTGCTGCTTCACTGGATTTTTTGCTTCAGTAAAAAAAAATTGTGTTGCCAATGTAAAAACAAATTTTTAAAAAAAAGTATTAACTCCCCCTTCCTCAATTTTCTTTTAAACATTTTAACATTTTCCTTCTATTTATTTGGCTATAGCAATGAAAACGATATTTTTTTAACTGATATTCTATTTATTTATATTTTTAACTGATTCTCTTATTAAAAATAGTATAAATAATTTTATTGAACACAACACCACAAAAATACATAATTTCTCATAAAAAATATATCTACAGGAAATATATAATATTTCTCATGAAATAAAAGGTGTCCTTCTTCCTTTATTATTCTTTTGACCTGTGTTAAAGACATATCTTGCAGTGTAATCTCTTTAATTAAAATCGCTAGTATAATTCTCTGTACTTTAATTCAACAGGATGAAGTTTCATATGAAAATAGCACTTAAAAGTTATTCACAAATCTATTTGATAGGTATTGATTTAGTATATGGCCAATTGAGTGGTACTAGCAGCAACAAGAAAAGCCATTATTGCCCTGATAACAAAATTGATGACTTTCTAGTTCAAACTGGAAAAATAAGTACCAGTAGAAATTTCTGAAAAATAAAAAATTAAATATATATTTTCAGAAGGAAGAGAAAATTTTCTAAAAAAGTAGGAGGTTCTTAAGCAGGAAATTGTTTCAGGCTAATTTGTTTTATATAAGTAGGGAAATATTTTGGACTTTGTGAAATAAACTTCCTAAACATTTTAGTACATGAAGACATTTCTTATGTAACTAAAATGTACCGCAAGTTTTGCCATTAATTTCTTTTTTAACTTTGAATAAAACTTTTTCCTTTTAAAAATTATTTTAAAGAATGTACTTTTTTGTCATTATTTTCTTGTATGTCTTTAAAAAATATTTTCAAGAAATTTTTTATTTTATTTTATCTTAAACTTTATTTCTTATTTTGCCTAAAAATTATTTATCTAATAATTAAACATTATTTAAAGTAGTTATTTTAAAGACTTGTCTTCAAAATTTATTTAGTATCGCAGCTAAATTCTATTAAGATCTGGTTAAAATAACATGCGGATTGGAGGTGCTAAGCCAATAAAAATCAGCAATATTTCAACCTTTTAAACTAGTCCTGAAAATGAATTGAACGTATGAACTTGCCCTGACTTATGAATATTAAACTTATTTTTGTTGCCTTAACACCTCTAATTATTAAGATGCTTGCATTTTACTATGCACAGTTATTTCTAAATGGAGTTCTATATATTAAATTACAAAGCTAAAAAAAAATCAGCAATATTTAAGCATTTGAAACTAGTCCTGAAAATTTATGAATATTAAACTTAGCACCTCCAGTTATTAAAATACTTGGATTTTACTTTGTGCAGTTATTTCTAAATGGAGTTCTATATATTACTAACTATAAGATTCTTTATTTAAATGATTAATCTATGTTGCGTGCTTGTTATTAATTTAGAAATATTTTCAAAGTGTGTTTCTTATTCTTTTAGTCTATTATTCAAGCAGGACAAAGACCTACTGTTCTTCAACAGTTATGTTCTTTACCATTTCTATACTTTAGTGATTCAGAACTTACAGATATCTTATTTCCAACTTTAATTGCATGCTGTTTCAATAATATGAGTAATAAGATAATACTTGAACAAGAAATGTCTTCTGAGCTTCTGACTAATTATATAGAGGTAAGTTGCACTAAAAATTCAGTTAATACTTATATTATTAATAATCATATTTATTCAAAAATGTGCTTTTTTGTCTACTATTCATATTTGTAACAGTCATCTCAAGAAATTCATTATTGACAATCTTTCATATTTTCAGTCTATTATAATCTCAGTCAGACTTGATTGAGGCATTTACTCTGATTGATTTCAATAGTCACTAAAGTTTCTTACTTTATGTATCTGTTTTTATATTTGGTCACATTACATTCTTAACTTAGGCGGTAGGGAACAATTTTCAGAAAACAAGCTGCTTTAGTGTTTTTAGAATAGGCTAATTATTTCTCATTTTATGAAACAATAATCTAGATAACCATTTGTATAATACTGTAGCTATAAATAAATATTCATAAGGAAGAAATTGAATACATAAGTATATTCAAAATAATATACAAAAAATGAGTTTAAATGGACTTTATGGGCTGAAATCTAACCAAGATTAATTTAATTTATCAAATTATTTTGATTATTTAACCCTTATTTATTTGGGAAAAATAAAATGTAAAATTGAGTGTGAACAGTCTAATGTAATGCAAGGAAAAATTATATGGTTAAATAAAGTTGTGCTAGTAATTAAAAATTGGAAATAATTAAATTTATAAAACTAATTATTGATGTTTAATGAAATTATGTTGACTTCTTCAGGGGTTGTTAATCTTTATTCATTCCATTATACAATAATTAAGGAACTCTGATTAAACATTTCTGTCTTTCTAGCTTACTTGAGAATGTTAACTGGAATCATAAATTAGGAATTTAAATAAAGAACCCAACTAGCTTTCAAATAAACTAGAATAACACTTCTACACTTTCTCAGGTTTTCATTAATTGTTAACACATGTTTACAGAACGTTTTGTGTAAATAGTACTCGATTTAAACAGTAATCAAATTAAAAGAAATATAATTAAAAATTATTTAAAATTTTGTAGAAATAAATCATGTCTTGTACAAAAATAATTATTACAAATAAAAACCTAAAGCTAAAAAATGTATTTATTAGAACAATGTCTTCTACCTGTAATAATTATAATTTTAAAATGGCAGCAATGGCTGCAATAAATGGCCATTCTTGGCTAAAAACTACTTTCCTAAAGAAGCAGCCATGTTAAATTAAGATAAAAATGTTTTGTTATTGTGCAATAGGATTGGCATTTAAAGCTGGCTTGCCTTCAGTTCTCCAAATAAAAACCTAATTGTTTCATTATACTCAAAAAGTTAAATTGGTGACCCAATAAGAAGTTTTTCTGCTTTTTTAAAGAACTAAGTTTGCTTAAGAAAGTAAGCTTTGGCTATCTTTGGCACAAAAATATTTAATAATATATATATCCACTTTTATAAATACTACAACTTCATTTTTGTAACTTGGATTCAGAAGTTAGAAAGGTCCTCTCTACCTAGTTATTTACTCCTAGTTCTGTTATTCAGAAGTGTATTATTCTGAAATTAACATGAAATGCAATTTTTCTTTTTCTTTAAAGTTGTTGGATTGTGGAATGCATATGATTTCATTACAGAAAATGATTTTTTTTTTCATTTAGTACACATAATTTTCAAATTATGTGCTATTGAAATGAACAGTTATTAAATAAAAATTTAGATAATTTTGAAGCTTTTTTTCAATATCCAAACACACACTTAAATCTAAGTTTGTGCATTCAAATATATATATATGATATATATATATGTATATAATGTATGTATAAATAGTCCATTTGGGAAAAAAAATTATTCATTTCAAAATACCTTTGCTGTCTTGTCTTTCTTATCATGCAATAAATGTGCTGTTTGTTAAGTGTGGAGTATATGTCTGTGTATATATATTGTATATGTTACATTTGGTCACATTGCATTCGTAACTAAGGTGGTGGGGAACAATTTAATTTTTAAAAAGCATTTATTATTATGCGAGTAAAATTAATCTATTCTGTTTTGAATTACTATAATTAATTCAGATACTCTTTTTATATAGTTTTCTATATACCATGATTACTTTGACGAAATGCATTTTTTTTATAATGCACTCTTACAGTTATGCATTATTGTAACATGAGTACTTTCTTCAAAATATTTAAATTTTTGTCCAATATTTATTTATTAGGTGAAATATTTAAATATGGAGGGATTTAGTTCTTGCAGTACCAAAAATGGTTAGTATAAAAAAACTTTTAATCTTCAAATATGCATTTCCAAATTAATTAATATTGTTTGGAATATTTGTTTATTATATATGATTCAGTTTTTTCCATGTATTTTCTTAATGTCATTATTTTCATGATAAAATGGTATTTTCAGGAAAAACTGATAAGCGATGGTTATTTTTCACAAGATTTCCAAAAAGTTATTGGACTACTGCAAAACAGTACTTTGCAGTTAAATGAGTTTCAGGTAAATAAACATTTTCATTTTTAAAACAGGGAAACCACAATTACCATTCAAAAGCAGTTGAATAATTATGCATGCATATATGTACGTACAAAGCCCGAGATCCAGAATCATCGGGGCTTATACAACTCTGCATTTAGATCTTCAGATTAAATATGGTAAGATGACATGTAGATATGGCACCATAGAAGCATATCTTATTGTTTAGGTCAGACAGAAGATGTTACCCTTTCGCAATCAGTCGAATGCCAGAAATGTGATCATGGCCAACATCAGTAAACGTCAGTCAACACTAGCCATGTGAGATTCCCTACCCAACAGGTGCTTGAAAGTGACATGCAGGACTATCAGTTAGGCAGGAGAAAAATTGCATTTATGGAAGGGTTCTTTTTTAGAAGGAGAGGGGATGCTGTTGGTATATAGTTCCAGGTATTGGATGTCTAGATTTCAGACTTTGTACTGTGTATATCTGTGAATGAAACACAAAGTGCATCCAAGTGATTTTTTGTTTTAAAATGTAAATACAAAATTGTAAAGCATTTTGTAATCTTACAATTTATTTAGAATATTTGAACACATATAGTTCAAATGAGCTCATATGTGCTTAAATGAACACCTAAGCATTTTGTTTCTGCCAATTTGATACTCCTTTGCTGTAATCTTGAAAATACTTAATTTTTTTTATCTGTTGCATATTTGAAATGCTTTAAAAATTGTGATATTCCTATGGGTGCAGTAATGCATAACATTATCATAGAATGACTAATATAGTGAATCTTAAGTATTGTAAATGTTCCAGTGCTATTCAAGAAATAGTATTGCACAATAACATTTTTCCACATTTTGGTCACATTGACTAGTTTATCATACCTTTCTGCATTTATTTTAAATATTAAATTTAAAATTTGCATATATTGTGTTAACTTTCAATTACTTTGAATGATTTATATACATATTTAACTTTTGAATACTATTAATTTATTTTGCAGGATTTAAAAGAAGAGTTAAGAATATCGGAGCAGAATTGTTTATTATAAGTGCATTTAATTGTGATGTGTTCAATGTATATGAATTCAGAAAAAGAGTACAGTTAACTATGTTAATTTGAGATTTATTTTTTAGTTTAATTATAGAATCATGTAAAATTTATGCTTATGTTAAAACTACAAATTATTAATTTTGTAATTTGAATGTAATATTTTCTGTTTGTTAATGAATTAGTGACCCGGTAAAAAAAATCATTTATGTAAAAGTTTTTATTACTTTTCTTATAAAAGCTATAATAAAAATTATTATATGATCAATTCCTTTTTTGGAAGTGGGGGGCAGGTAATTCTATATTTGAAAATTTCTAGCAATTTATTCTTCTTCTGGAAAAAATCTTAATTTAGATTTTTATTGTAAAATTATTTATACCCCATACTGTGAGAAAACATCTCCTGAGTCACTTAGAACACATTTTTTTTTTTTTTTTTTTTTTTTTTAATTTCAGCATTTTTTGGAACATATGTAGAAGCTGTACAAGTCCAAATAATCTTTTAAAACTGCTTGACAGGATCCATATGATTTATGAATTTGTTCAATAATATCACTAGCTGTTAAACGATGTTCGCTAAGCGCAAATCATTTATTTGATCAATGTGTAGTTTATCTTTAAGTGGATAATCTACCAGAGCATGGTTCATCTCGAGGTTTCCAGTCAAGTCCTCAAAGACTTTCTCAAACATTTCTGTAGCAGAAATTCTATTCCTAAAAAATAATAATGGATGATATTGCTCAGTTATATTCGCCAAAGCAAAAGTTCTTTATTTGAAAATGATAAACAGAAATGGAATATAAATTATTGCCAAAGATTGATAAAAGTACTTACAACTTCAGAAAAACTCTGTAAGCGATTTCATGCATATGCATAATTTAAATAAATCACTTCTAATTTTTTTTATCAGAGTAGTATATTACTTTTTGTAACTGCCACCTAAAGTTAATAAAAAAATCTTGAGAATTTTGATTAATAATATATATTAAAGAATAATCTAAATCAATATATTTATTCTCAAATATATCTGGAAATCTTGTATATAAAAAACAAATACTTTTTAATATTTCACTGATTAGAATTTTTGCTTTTTGGTGACCATATAAAGCCTTAGTTTTATATATTACACTTCTGTTCACAGTATTGAAACTTTTATAAAATGTTCTAAACTAAACTCAGTGGCGCAACAGCCCTAGTGGGCCACGGGCTGCAGTGCCCTTTTTCTGCTTCAGGCCCCAGAGTGCATCAGCATATCCCTGAGCAAGTGGTCAGCTTGTTTCAGGACACACAGTGTTTAGTCTCCAAGCAAACTTTATACCCTCATTTTATCGACCTACTCAAGGGACAAAAAGCTGAGTCAACCTTGCCCAGCCAGGTGTTCAAACTTCAGACTGTGTTGCGCTAGCCACTTTATCATCGGGCGGTATTAAATTTTCCAGATTTGGATTATTTAATTATGGCAAAGCATACGAGGGCTATCGCCATAAGGGGAGGCAAGCCTTCATGAAAGACTTTCTAAGGAAAACCGATTCATATCCACATTACACATGGGAAAAACTAAAAAAATGCCCACGCAGCCAGCTTGTTCTTTTGGAAATCAGCTCACGTTGAACTACTAGTGTTCAGTGACTTTACCACTCAGTCACTGGAAGGCCTAAAAAATTTTCTTGTTTTTGGAAAAAAAAAAAAAAAAAACCTATCTGGAGTTATGGAAATAAAGCTTATAGCCACTTCTTTTTTGACACTGTATAGACATCTCCATACATACCTATAGATATCTCTATACTTAGATGGAGGTTACAAACAAAAAATTTATTGGATACTGTAGAAAATCTACAAGTGAGTTTTTTACTACATTTATCAACAGAGATGATATTGAGAATCTATGAACAATTAATTGCTAAAACTACCTAATAATGATGAAAGGTAAACATTGATTAAAGGAAACAAATTCCACATTTATTTATATAGCTATTAAAAAAGATGCTCATTTGTGAAGCAAATATTTTTCTTTTTTAATACTTTCATGACTTTATTCCCACATAAAAGTAAATATAGCATAACTTAACAAGAAATATATAAACAATAATACAGTCCTACAAATGTTCACCCTTTTTCTATTACAGAGATGGAAGAAGCTTTCTTATTAAATTTCACTTTCTGAACATGATTATGCATTTCATTTTCTTATTGGCTCTTGTGTGAAAGTTATAACAGAATTTAAAAATCAACATTTTTCGTACTAAAGCAATTCTTTCTACAGGAAAACACAGTAGACAATAGCAAACCACTCATGATTGTTTGAACAGAACACTATGAAAATGACAGCATTTTTTAGCTTGTAATTTTCAAGTAACTTATACAGTCAAAAGTCGTTAATCCGGACTCGTCGGGACTTCGGCGATTCCAGATTATCGATTTTTCCGGATTATAGATCATCAGTTTAAGTCTCGCAAGATGGCATGCAGAAATTCTAAAATTAAAAATATGAAACCGTAATTTATGAAATAAAGAACAATTATGATCTAAAGGGTATCAAAATTTACAAAAAAAAAAAAGCTTAATATTTATTTGTTTACTTTATTAAACATTTCTTTCAATGTAAGTTGTGCAAGTTGCTTCGTTTTATGTGATAATACTTTCTCTTTAATTCTATACACAGACAATTTCTTGTTCAGTTACAAAGTTCCGCTGTTCAAGTCCCATTAATTGCTGTGCAGAGAATACCGACTAACTTGTCAATCGAAATTTTTTCGTTTTCACTAACCTCTCTGTCACATTCTTCATGTCTTTATCCATTTTTTGCAGCAATTCCACTTTTTGTTTGATGGACATCGAAACATACTTTCATTTTGTACGATCCTTTGGGAGCTCCAGAATCGGAAATTCTATTTGACATAATCGAAAGTTCAAGTTTACTTTTATAGTATTGCTCTTACAGTCTGCAAAAAATAATAAGCCGGATCCAATTTGAAAATTAAGGAACAACGCAATCATCAACATTAACTGAAATAGATAATTAGATAATTTTAGCTTATACCATCCGTTGTACATAAAACGCGCACGCGTAAACGCCTATGCGCATGTGTCAACGCGACGCATGCACAGAAAGTTTTTAGCTTTGAGGTCCGAATTATGAGTGTCCGAATTAACGACTTTTGACTGTATACCTTCTTTTACCATTTTTAAACCTAAGCATGGTAATTTTCTGCATAAACATACAAATGCTAGATCATCATTCTGTGATTCTTTCACAAAATATTTTATTAACCCCAGTATATGAAGTTAGGGAGCAATACCTTTATTGAATTTACAAGACGTTGTGAAGCAACACTTTTCATACTAGCTGTGAAAAATGTATGTGGAGGCTAGTTTTAATATAAATCCCTATCGCACAACTATCTTACATAAACTCTGTTCACAAGAGCTGATTTGAACGGTGGCGAAAAATCTTCCAACATGTCCCATTCACAAAGCGAACAAGCAGTAACTGCCTCTCTAACTGGATGGGAAGATTTACAATACTGCATTGCAAGATTCACTTAATTCTAGATAAAAAACATGGCTGACATGCAGTTGACTGCTTGCTGGAGTTTCAGTGAAACTATTGCATTGCTAATGCATCTGAGGATAAAATAGTGTTTAAAAAAAAAGGTGGTACGCATAAAGAGATATGCACAAGTTTAGCTACATCTGGGATCTAGGTACAAATCAAAATGTTGAGACACGAAGGATATCGTTGATCTGGATATGCCAATTTTAGTACCATTATGTTACATTTATAAAGGAACACAAATTTCCTTCAGCGAATCCACTGTCTCTGATCAAATAATAATCTTTCCTCTAAACAGCACATACTAAATTATAAATGCAAAAATAATTCTAGGAGGGAGAACTTTTATCGAACTAAAGGGAGAAAATCATTCATCATATACTTTAATCAGAACAAGAAATTAAATACTTCTCGTCACAAAAAATATATCTATAATTTTATATCGCAAGAATCAAAAGCGTGGGTCGGCTGAAAAATTTATTAAGAACTTTATTTTCATCTTTTTAGTCTCAATAATGTCAATCAAATCATTCAATTCAAAAAGTACATCTTAATAAATAATTAAAATACATCTTTTCCCCCCAAACAGTTGGAAAAAATCCAGCGATTTAAAAAAAAAAAAGCATTTTAAAATATGTAAGACAAATTTTGAAAAATCCTTTCCAATAACTGCATACACAAAATTTGATACTCCATAACAAGAAAATGAACTAAAAATCAATGATAAAGTTTTTACTGTACAGACAAACGCTGAGTTTTAAATAAACTCTAGAAAGTCAGCTTATTTATATATATATATATATATATATATATATATATATATTCTTGTTTTGTAAGGAGGGTGAAAAGTTTCAAATCTATATAATCGATACATTTTTGGATATCAGAATTTTAAAACCCATAAAATACCTCAACAAAATTAAGAAAAATCAGTTTTTGAAATGAAATGCTGAGAAAAAATGTAAAGAAACTTATGGAAAGGAAGTAATTAAAAATGACATGGTAGATTTCATTGCAAATAAATTTCAATAGTAATAAATATTTTTTGGGCGGGGATTAATAAAATGGAAAATCTATAGGGGAAGAAAAATGAAGTTTTTTATAACAAGCTTAACATCATCTGTGAAAATTTCAAAACTTTGTTATCAATACATTTTCAGGTGCAAAATTTTAAAATAATGGATCTCAATAAGTCTAAAAATTCGAACAATTTTAAATTCTCCCAAAAATAAGAAAAAACATTTTTCCCACTTGATCCAGTGGTGCAAACAAAAGGCACCACTCTCATCCCCAGGCAATGTAGTATATAAAAAAACTTGAATATCTTCCAGATATTAGTTATTCCAGACTTGGAAGCAATTTAACAACTGTTGACAAGCTTTTAATCATAAAGACAAACACCATGAGTGAACTAAATGAAAGTTCATAAAGATGATAATACAGCATAACTTTTTTGGGGAACATTACAAAAGTTCCAGTAGCAAAAATAAACAATGTTAAAAGAGTGTAAACAGTATTAGAAATCAACCAATTTGATTAATGTTTTTAACCTCATTGGGTTTAGAACGGCTTATGGGGTAACGGGAAGGAATGGGTTCTAAAGACTACTCCTCCACATCTTTTTCTCCTCTTGCTAAAGGCAGCTGTGCGAAGGAGTGTTGCATGTAAATGGGGCTATATATGAAACAGTTTTGTAAACTTAGCAAAACTGCAATAATCTTAATGTCACAGCAAATTTGATATCCGTATATATAATATTTCTAGTACTGAAGAATTTTTTATATGTTATGTTTCCTTCAGATTAACTGCATAACCAACAGTTTACAAACTACTTTGAGACAAAATTGAAAAGTCTAAAAAAAAAATCTGCCTTATATATATAATCATCAATGCAAAAAGATTTTTATATCATGGCACAAATTAGGTCTCTTTGTTTGAAAAAATAGCAGATCCTCTCTAATTATAGTGAAAAATTGTTGCAGCCACAAAGTCAACAATTCAGCTATATGTTTTGAGAGTTCTAAGTCTCTTGGTAGATCACTTAACTCACCTTGTTATTTCATTCATTGCACTGGTAGTTAATGGTAAGGAAAAGTTCAGATCTTGCAATGTTGAGGGCTGCTTCATTATATGTATTCAAACTGTAGCATCCTGGATATTGTAATATTGGTACATCGGAACCCTGCAGAATCTAACAGATGGTTGAAACTTAACTCCTATATTAAAATGCTCTTTTTCTTTTTGGCATATTCCCTGCAGAGATGCAACTAAAGATAAAAAGCAATCTAAGATCTATAGTCTTTTGAATGTTATCATCAATAAGTGGTAAGATCAACAGTCTTATGAATGAATGCTACAGGAATAAGTACTGCAGCACATGTTAGCTAAAAATCAGTTCTATTCTCCAACTCTACATCCAAAATACAAGAAGTAAGTCTTTCTCCTTCAAAAAGGATAAGAGGCATGCTTTCTAAATTTAAACATAAGTTCCCCACATAAATAGGAAAAACATCTTAGGCTCATTCAAAACATACGAAGCTTGAGTTTCATTAACCACCTCAACACAAAAGTTTTAGTACATATACAATGAAAAATCCTACTCAGAACACAAAAAGTATGGGTGGCTAATTATAAATACTCAATTGCATGAAGATTGACGGAATTTTTTCCTTAACTAATAGAAGAATAGTTCAATGAAGTGATATGGAATATTAGGCTGCCAAACAACTACCAATATTGATATTATTGAATATATATCCTTTTGCCATGTTTGTTTTGACAATGTAGAAAGGCCAAAATGTTCCTGAATGTTTTAAAGTTTATATTTTGATGTTGCACAGAAGCTGACACTTGTTTATATCTACTGTATTTTTCATATCATGAGGACCAGCACTAATAAAAATAATAATTTGCTAATAGAAATTCATTGCCCATCTGCTTTTAACATTAATTAAATCAATAATCTAATTTAGGCTGGAGTGCACCACTCCACAAAAAGTATAATTTATTCTCTTTGCACCCTGATTTTTCTATATTACAGTGGTGTGCTTTGGGTAATTGTCACTGTAACTGTGTGGCGAGATTTGTGGGAACACTATTTACGTCCATGATTACAATTACCATTGTTAATTTTATCACCTGATTATCTCTTGCATATTTCCACAAATGTTGCCACGTTACTGTGGCAGTGGTAGATGCTCAACAGTATTTCCCTATAATCAGATTCGGATGGCTGAATACACTTTTTTGTTACACTGAAAAAGGCAACTGAACACTTTTAACATCATTTTCATGATTAGCAGCCATTAAAAAGATTAGGCCTTTTTACAGGCACCAAATTGTGTTTAGAACAGAAATTGTCAGATAACTTATCTGACATCTTTTTGGGGTGGTGTTATTGATGAAAAAAATCTCCAATTAGCTAATGACTCTCTCAAATTTGATGATCTAATGTTAAATTTCCCATCAAAAGTCCCTTTAATGTATTTCAATCACAGCTTTCAAATTTAAATTTAATTTATATGTTAATGATTGAAAGCATAAGACCAGATTCTGTTTCTCTATTCTCTTCACTGAAACAGAAAATTCTTATTACAAATGAACAAATATCTACACAATGTTGGATTTTTGCCACTTTTCGTAATTTCATAGGATACTGGTATTTCAATTTGTGATGTTATTAATAGCACTGTTGAATTTCCAGCCTATATTATATCTCTGGAGAACAAGACAGCAGTAAAATGAAGGGAAAAGCATTTTGATCTTTTTTCATATTTTTTAATAACATTTATAATGTTTTAAATACAACTGAAAATTTTGAATAATTATGAAATCTCTTACAGTTACCAGCTTATTATGTGATGAAATAAATAAATACATAAACTAGACAAACAAAAGAATTTTTATGATTTTTTTTAATTGCTAATGTTTGATTATTACATGCAACAGTATCATTTTATGCATTAATTGTTTAACTTTATGTTATTAGAATCATTATTCTTCATAATTGCAGCAAATAAGGCTCGGTTATATTGGCAAAAATAATAATAATAATAATAAACATTTTTGATCACATGTTGCATATCTTAATTTAAAAAACAAAAGTTCCTTTAGGAATGCATTCAGTTTGAACCTCTAAGGCACTAATATTTAAATTCAAGTTTTTAGATAAAATTTATATTATTAAAACTCTGGAAAAATATTTTATGTGCAAATGGTTTACCTTATTTTTATATTAAGGAGACAACAAATTTATACGTCAAGTTTTTTTAAGTCTTCATGCGTAATATAAATAAATCAATTTCTATCAATTTCAAAATTTAATAAATCTTTATTCAAAATCTGCCCAAGTTTAGAATAAATAATATATTGCATGTTTAAATTATGTTGTGCTACTTAAATATATTACATCCCCCGCCATCTTTTTGCTATCCCTGTTTGTATTTTAATCCAAAAGATGGACCTAATTTATCTTTTTTACCAAAACTCTTCGCATGATTTCTCCTATTTACAACATTTGTACTTTTCCTCTGTTCCACAATCTGAAAAATAAAATTTTAAAAGTAATATAGTAATGTATTAAAAAACCCGAATGAATCAAAATTTTACAACCTACTATTTTTAAGAATAATATGACATCATTTATTCGTATACTGATCAAGTTTTTGAATCAATTCTGGCACAGCTTTGAAAAGGTCTGCTACAAGACCTATATCTGCAACCTGGAAAATAGGTGCTTCTGGACCTTTGTTGATAGCTACTATAGTTTTTGCTCCTCCTCCCAGCCATGTGAAGGCCCCTGATATTCCAACAGCTATATATAATTCCTATAAACAGGAAGACAAAATATTATGTTTAGATGTAATTTTTATGATATAAAATGCTTATACAATTACCAAAAATATGTGATTTGCTACCATCCACATTCATCAGATGTTATCTGCAGCATTTTAAATTCATGGGAAAAGTACATTAAATGCTAACATGTGTATTATAATTCAGAACTATTTCCATATCTCAAAATGAGTATAACTAAAAATACTTAAGAAAATATTCTGCAAGATAGCTCCAAATTACAGAATAAATAGCAAAGGTTTGATATTATCCATCGTCCCATATTTTGCACTGATAGGAAAACAAAATGAACAAGGCTACTGCAAAGGTCACAATGACTGCTTCCCCTCCCCTTCCCCCCCAGAAAAAAACCTAAAACAGAGTTCATCTTCCTCTTTTCCGAACTATCAGTAATGGGCCTGAATAAAATCCATGCCCAAATTTCGCTCGCTTTCCATCTAGAATGAAAAATCTGCGTAGGATGCATTAACATTAAACAAACCTAATATTAACATAATTTCTTCGCAATAATACAATTCAAACTTTGTCAAGTTTCACTAATTAGAAAATTTCTTGAACAGCTTTTTTACTTAATGCAGCCTTAATTTTTAGAAATTAGGGCATTTTATTATGTATGTTGATAAGTTATATTTACAGCTTTATGTTGATTCTTTCTTTTATGCCTCGTTTCTTCATGTAATCACTTTGTCCAAAGGTTTATGCAAATTTTATGGCACGCAGCCCAGGTTAAAATGAGAAGTAAAATCATAAGCATGATTCATAAAAGAAGCTTTGCTGCTATTTGCCTAGAGCAGAGTTTCTAAAACTGTGGGTCGCCAGAAATTTAGCCATTCTGATACTTCTTTAACTTATAATAATTTTATAATAACCAAATGTTTTTACATAATGTATCTGAAAATAGATAAAGAAAAGGCAATCAGAAATAAAAAATGAAATGTTTTGAGTATTTTTTTACAATAGAACGTCATTTAAATTTAAAGTCAATACTAAAACTGCAACTGTTATACAGTACAATGAGAAACTGATATTTCTCATGCTCGTTGAATTTGGGCAATGCTTTGGGGGTCCCCAACCGAAAAATTAGAGGGTCCCCACACCAAAAGTTCGAAACCTGGTTAGACGATACGAATACTTGCAAATAACATTGGCAAGAAAAACGTTATAGTAATGTGCTTGTCCGCTGATAATCAGTATCGTGCTTCATGTAACAGTAACGTTCCATGCTTGCGAAGCATCAGACATAGTTGTTTTTTTCTTTTCTTTTTTTTTATAATCTACCATAAGAAAATAATTTTATGTAATTTACATTTTTAAGTTGCCTTATATCCAGTAAGGATTTGCCCTAATAGCCTGAAGATGCCTTCTTCCCGGTGAGCCGTTAGTACAGATAATCAAATTAGGTAGTTGACCTCTTTTAGATTAGATATGCTGGCCACTAATATTTTTTTCATATTATTGCTGAAAGTATTGTTAAAAGCTTATTAAAATCACATCCAAGCATTTTACAGATAAAATACAGATATTACTGATGATTTAAAATATTAGAATATTATACATTAAAGTACAAAATATGTATGTTGTATATAGCCCAACAAAAATGCATCTTTTCTTACTTCCAGTTTTCTCCTTTATATCAATTTCCTTATTATACTAAATCTGTAGTGGAACATGCCGTTTCAGAACACGTGTGAAAAAACGTTCTTGACAAAAAAAAAAAAAAAATCCATTTTTAAATTGGAAAAATCCAAGAAGAAACGTTTCAAAGAACGTTTGGCTTTTTGCCTCTTAAAAGCGGATTTTTTCCCCCTCCCCTTCTCATTCGACAAAAATATTCTTTTCCTTTAAAGAAATTTTAAATGATATCATTTTATGAACTCGTGATAACGCTTGAACTCGACACCGGTTTCGCCTGGCGACAGATGTATCGCCGCCAGTTGTTTCCCTCTATGATGGAACGGAGCTACATCGTTTCAGAGAGTTTCCTTCTTTCATACATATTTTTTATTCTAACTTCCAGGACTGTATAATAGGATTCCTATTTGTTTTACGAAACAGTCTTTTTGTTCATGCACTGCCCATGATTCTCGAGGTTACCGGAACCAAATTGTTGCTTTGCCTTTAAAAGCAATAATTGGGCTGCAATTCGCTTATATCAGTGCCCCGATGACACTCACGGATACACATTCCCAAAAAAGTGATCTCTTTCGACATCAGTGCAAAACTGCCTTTTTGATGGAATCGTTGTATGAAATCCCCGACTTTTCCAGATTTGACTAAAACCTTAAATCCCTGATTTCCCTGATTTTTGGTCAATTTCCGAATTCCCTGACTTTTTTGGTTTTCACGGTTTCAGGTTTGGTAACGTGGCACCCTGTAAGAAAAAATTGAACAATCCATGAAATACATATTGTCTGAATCACCAAAAGCTATCTTTCTCAATGTTAACTCTCACACCCTGTCATAAAATAGACAAAAGTCAATGAGTAACTAAGGACTTTTAAAGGAACAAAATTGTTTCCCCAAACTAAGGCCTTTCGGCATTTTAAAGTATTGAAAGTGAAATGTCTCTAACATCGAATCCATATTCTTCACATCATATTACAAAGCTGCTTAATCTGTGCAATGCCCCTTTTCGTATTTCTTTGTCTTGCAATTTAACCCACTTAGATGATTTCTGTTCAAGATATTTTCCCCCTTATAAGTCGATGGATAAATAAATATCCTATGATTAATATTCATAAATTGAATGAAATTTCTTTTGACTTAATTTACATAGAGTTTGTTTCCATACAAACTCTATGTAAATTACTTTATATACAATATAAAATTTGCATTTATTATTTCATGTACTTAATAAGCCAGCTAAAAAATCCAATTAACAGAAATATGTAAAAATTTCACTCAAACAAACTTACAGGTGCACTATTTTCCATTGTCCAACCTGCATCCTTAGGACACTCCCCACTCCTGCGCAGGGAAGCCCACCCAGCAGCTTGCAACTTGTCAGCAAGTTCATACAGTAGTTTAAAATTATCTCCACTTTTTAAACCTCTTCCTAAATATTATATATAAATATTCAGATACAAATGGTACAAATAAATATTATATTTTTTCCAGGATTACTTAAAAATTGTGAATATTTTATTTTTTCTGCTTTTGAAATAATCAAGCCTGATTGATGCCTCAGAATGGGCCTGAACCCATTGGAAATTCCACCACCAAGAACTTTCATGGAACAGACGAATCTGCGCTGCAAGGAAGGTACCAGACAAGATGAACAGAAAAGCTTTATGTTTGAAATGAAATCTAGTCCTCTGTATTAAGTATACAGTCTGGCTCTACTGCCACATACCAATAGGGCAACGATTCTCTATGTGGGGCAGCCTTACCACTCTGCACTTTAGCAGCAACTTCATTGCACCTTTTATAATGCACAAAGGCGGTACATATTTAAGCCCTCTAGATACACAACTTTGTCCCATTAAATCCATTCTCCCCCAATAGTCTCATACTTTGCTTCATTCATTGCCTTTTCACAATTTGTACATTTTACCAGCTCAGTCATTTACTGGGGAAATCATTTTCCTCTTGATTGAACTGGATTCATCATTTTGGGTCTTTGATAGCCCATTAAATCTCCTTTTCCCCTTATTAATTTTGTCAGCAAATTTTTGTTGCATTGTAACACCACCCCCTTGCTTGTATCTTTAGGGCATATTTTCACTCTTACAAGACAAAACTCAAGACTTTTTGTTCCCTTATTACATTTGAGTGTTTTTAAGTTATAAACTAAAACAAATCGTCCGGGGCGTACGAAGGTTGGGAATGTACTGGCAGAATTTGGATGTTAATCTTTTAAACCATTATTTTTCTTGTTTAATCAGTTGTATCTTTCATATTTGGATTAATAGATTTTTTACTTTAACCCAATTACATTCACCAACTAATTTAAATATAGAGTACCTTTGGCAGGACCCAAACAAAAAATCCCGCGGCATCTAAGGGTATTTAATTTTGTCGAACATTTTTATTTATTCTCTAAAAAAATCAGCTTCCCGTTTTCGGGGGGGGATTTTCTCCTAGTCCCTCTCATTTTGCGGATTGCTCTTGATAGCTACTTTCTCCTCGGTGTTTCCCTTTCTCGGAAATTTTTTTTCTTTTCCAGCTTGGCCTCTTTTAAATGCTCTTACCCTTTTTGTTATGCAGCTACCTCAGATTTTAAGGCGGGCCCTGTCTTTTTCTCCTTGAAAGTTTAATTTTCATTAAATTAAGAATTATTAGCTGTGCTGCCCATAAAATTAGGTGAATAATAAATCTCCCCGATTTTAAAAATATATTAAGAAACAGCTTGGCAATATATAAAAAGTGTTAATATGTTAACATTGTAAGACTAGTGCTTAACATTTTCTTTTGTAATTTCCCTCCCCTTTTGAAAAATTATGAAAACTATCACAACAGTGACGACATATGGACAGTAATGTGTTACAAAAAACAACTGATACTACCAAATATATAAAGCATAGGAATTGCATAACTGCACATGCATACAGGTAACCTTCTTATAACACAGTAGATAGGTTCCTAGAAAATGCTGTGTCATATGAAACAGTGTTGTACGAGACCCAGATCCAGTCAGGGGGTTGCATTCCAAAAACTTGAAGATCATAATTGCTCTATTATTTCATTTTTAATTTCTACATGTCATCTTGCTAGGTTTAAACTGATAATCTAAAATCCCCAAAATTCTGAAATCAGAAATCATCAAAATAGTGATTTCGAATCTCAGACTTCACACTGTGTAAGATTTTATCCTTGTTTTTTAGCATTTCATAAACTAAAAATTTTTCTTTCACAAATTATCCATATAACAATCATGTGAATGATCTCACACTGCACATTAAAAATATAATAAACATGTCAATGATCTAGCACTGTGTGGATAACTTGGCAACTTCTCTTTCATAAACTTCATTAATATAAAGTCGGTCTCTTCTTAACTTCTGAAATGTTACAAACTTCTTACAGAAGCTAGGTTTTGAGACATTACTGATTTTGCTACAAGAATATGATGAAATTAGTCAATTATTGTGGACTTGCACGTTCCTTTTTATCTTGAACAGAGGCATTCTATGAAATTCATATCTCTTCATTAAACTGCCATAAATATCATAGTAAAATTATCAAGAGCAGTGCTCAAGCATGAAAATATCCAATTATAAAAACTAACCAGCACAAATGGTGAAAAATACTCCATATCATTTACATCACCTCAGAAAGGTTCTTATATTTCCCAAATCATGCAACGAACAGCCAGATGGTAAAAAGTATCCACTTTATCACCCGTTTCCATATCTCCATCATCGTAACATCAAACTTTACACTATTCAAATGCAGAAAAAATGCGTGGCTTTTTTGTAGTTGATTATGAACCTGTATGCAATGTTTCAACCACTAAAACCTTTCGAGCTCTCAAAATATAATTGTATATGCTTGGTTTCTAGTACAATTTTGGAATTTGTAATAATTTAGCTAGAAAAAATTCTCTTGTATCAAGTATTTCACAGCTCTGTGGTCTCTGTGCACCATTTCAGTACTACTTATTCTTTTTGAACTTTTGATAATGCACTCTAAGCTAGTTTTAAAAGAAAGTTAAAGAGTTTATTTATAACATTCCTCTATTTTTCTTTTGATGCATGTAATCCATTTTGTGTAAAGTGCATTAACTTAATACATTTTTACTGTGTAATGATTAATTTCTACAACTGTTTACAAATTGTTGTGCATATAGACACTGAATGATCAAACTATTAGAAAGAACAGTTATGGGAAATGTATATACAAATTCTTGACCAGAATGAAATATATTAAAACCAGATACAAATTAGAAACACACATATTATCTCAATTCTGTACCCAAAAATGTACCAATACTAATACAAATTCACAGAGTCACAAATGCAGTAATCTAAGTAACTTTGAATACAGATGCATTGTTTGTGCTGACAAGTGGATCATTTTACCTCTAAAGAGGTATCAAAAATAAATGCAAGTATATCAACAATAAATATCTCAATAAAGAAATGATGACAACCAACTCATTATTGATAACTGAAGATAGTGTCATCAAATATGTTCTATAAACAGGCTGAAAAGTACATGTGGCACAGAAACACCCAAGCTTAATATTAGAAACCTATCAACAAGAAGATTAAAAAAATTGCTGTAAATGATAGATAGGCCATAGATGACAGCATCCTACTTGTGTGTCATAACTACTGATTACATTTTATGGCACACTGAATCTTGTCTGGTAATATGATCATCAAAATTAGATTTCTTTCAGAGTGGAATAGTGCAGCAAGATGAAGCTCACTTTCACCTACAAAAGGCTGTTTAGAAGATAAATGTATGACTCTGATGACATAAGCAAAAGATCCACGTTACCAGATTGTTTCTAATCACAGTGATGGTAATTATGATAGCTATGTGACTGTGGAGAAGGTATTTATGATATAAAATATTCCTCAACACGTTTGGAAAGATTTGGAAGGTAAGGTTTGGTTTGGTAAACAATGCACGTAAACACAATGTGCTTGCTTCATGTATCCTCAAAAGAACAGTTTATTCAGCTAATGTGCTACAAGTCAGCTAATGTGTCATCTTATTGGCCCATCATCACTCACACAGGGCTTAAGAAATACTCTATTGAGTTTCAAACTATTCGAGAGCCAGCAAGTTGCCTAGAATATGAATACTATTGAATCTCTTTGAAATGTAGTTGAACAAGTATCAGATGCATGAACATGAATACATTTAGGATGGAGACAAGAAAAATGTTTTGGCATATTTAATTTCCAATTATGGCAACTCTCCACCACCTTTTGCAGACTCATCTTGTTTTGGCAAACATAAGTATGTTCATACTCCAGAAGAACTGATATGCATTCAGGAAAATGACTCCAATGCTTTGGTCATTCAGCATTCTTTTTATGTTCAAAAATACATTGTTCACCTAGAAGTCTCCTTATGACTGTCAAAAATATATACTTACCACCTGAGATAACGCGCTTTGCACTTGTTAACTCAGGTCTTTCACTCTTTGAAAGCTCTTGACCACACCATGTAGAGAGATCATTTTTTATTTCACATGCAGGTGCTGTGGAAGAGGAAAAAAAATTAGCTTAGTACTTAAGGCCTTAAATTCAAATAAAGTTTAAAAAAAAAAGTCATTGCATCAATACAATAGTAAGGTGAGAAATGTTTTAATGTCTTAATCTTGAGATAGTTTAAAATATTTAAAATATCTGGCAAATTTTACATCTTTAAACAGCTGACAGATGTTTACTGTAACAATTCACTACAGAAACCATTCCATTACATGGTCTTGAGTTGATGAAAGTATATTACATCAAATTTGACTATAAAAATCACTCAAAGATATGGGAGTCATTATAATAACCATCACTTATACTACAAAAATAGCAAGGCTAGAAAATAGCAAGTTATCATGAAGTGTAGCAACAATTAAGCTTTTATGTATTTAATCTACAACATATGAAAAAAATACACATTCTGTCTAATTAATCACAATAGGACAAACTATTAGAAAAACACATATAGTAAGATGTAGTGCTTACAACTAAACTTTTAGATGAAGAAAACATACAAATTCATTAATAAAATATGAATTCCCTAGGCAAAATTTGAAAAAAAAAATTCTAAAAAGAAATCAATTGTTTAGCTATTAATGTGACTTTTTTATTTATGCTACTAATACACATTATTAAGGTATTAATTATATGTGTGTGTGTTAATACAGTGCATTAAGCTATTAATTATATGTGTGTGTATGTTAATATAGTGTATTAAGCTAAAATTATATGTGTGTGTATGTTAATATAGTGTATTAAGCTAAAATTGTATGTGTGTGTGTGTTAATATAGTGTATTAAGCTATTAATGTGACTTGTGAAACTTTCTTTAATTTATAAAATAACAAATAGTTGTCAGAAATATTACTTTAACTTAAAAGTTTAATGTGAAATATTACAACTGACACAGATATCTTAAAATTAAACACTTGCTAAATGGACTAGCTAAGCTACCAGTAGTTTGCTTAAATTGCATAAGCACCATGCCAGAGTTCCTTAACGAACAATTTAAGGACACATGTAAAACAGATTTGATATCAAATATTCAATGCTTAAAAAAACAGTGACAAAAGTTTCCTGGAAGAAGAACACTTATCAGCACTCTGATTTAGCTAGCTCCTAGTTTTAGATTTAAACCCTGCTATTCACAGCAACATCAACTAATTCATTGGAATCCACTTTATAACACATTTAATTATGTTTAATCAATATTGGCAAAGTACAAGAGGATAAGGTCACTTTTAAAACAAATTTTGGGATTTTTAACTTAAACTTTGCATACATTAAAAGCAGCAAATGACACTGTTTCGCTTGCTTTTATTCAAAAACAAATTTTTAAAAGCAGCATATGATACTGTTTTGTTTATTTCATTCAGAAACAAATTTTTAATCAAGTCAAGATTCAAAGTGGAGCAAACAGGTGCTTTAAAAATACCTGTTTGCTCCACTTTGAATCTTGAACTTGATCAAAAACTTTTATTAAATGCCGAGTGCTTAAATAACAGAACTTTTCCAAATATTAACTTAACATACCATTCTCAGTGGAAACTCCTCCTCCTGTTAATGCACAAGCTGCAAAATTAGTACCTCGTACTGTAAGTAATTTTATGGCATCTTTTGCTTTTAATGTCTGAATGGCATTACCTGAAAAAGAAAAATACTTTATACTTCAATAACTATATTTCTATCTCTCTCTCTCTCTCTCTATATATATATATATAATAAAATATTAAAATTCTTAATTTATATGCACAATTTACTAGGTGTTATATTTATTTTTCATTTTCATACTTGCCAACCTATGACACTCAAAAATCAGGAGATTTTTTTAAGAAATCGGGAGATTTTTCACAATGTTAAAAAGACTTTTTAAATGAGGAAAATATAGTTTTCAATAATGAATTAACTTTAAATAGTAACTAAATCTTAAATGCAAGCAACCAAAAATTCCTTACACATAAAAAACATTTTTATTACTTTCATCGTTTAAGAAAACAAAACAAAAAAAAAAAAAAAAAAAAAAAAAAAAAAAAAAAAACCTTTAATCAGTTTTTGTACAAATGGTATAAACAGTGGCAGATTTTGCTTTCTTTAAGAAAGAAACTTCATAATTTTGTTCATAGCAATTGCCACACGTAGGCCTGCTTTCACTAATAAAAGTTTTTCTAATGTGTCATCACTAATATTAGATCTAAATTTAGTCCTCGTTTTCGCAACAACACTGAAAATCCTCTCACACTCTGCATTACTATGGGGAACTGTCAAGATGGCCAACATAATTCTAGACAGTTCTCTATATTTTAAAATTCCATCAGCATCTTTCAGTTTTCCAATTAAACTCCACTGGGTGTCAATCCTAGCTGATTTTATAACTTCATCCAAGTTTTCTAATTGTAAACTGCTATTATGCAGCTTTTGGACCTGTTTCAATTTTTCCTCCTTTTTAGAACTCCTTTCAAGATTATAATAAATATCAACAATGTGTTCATCCACATTTATTGGTAAAGAAGCTACTCCTTTTTCAGCTGCTAAATTTAAGAGGTGACAGGTGCACCTCATAATCTGCAAATCTGAATTTTTTCTTTCTGAAGATACCTGCAACACCAGTCTTCAAGCCTACCAATACTGGTGCATTATCGGCACCTAGTGCTAAGCAATTATCCAGAGGGACTGCATTTTCTTTTAAAGTTTTAATAATTAGCTGTGCTATATTAAAGCCTGTCAAATGTCCTTACAAAGTGGGGACAGAAAGTAAACTGCACTCAATTTCTGAAGACTCTGGATTAAAAAAAGAAACAACAATTGGATACAGTTTTGAATTGGTATTATTGCTTCCATCCGTAGAGAGGCAGAACGGAGCTGTTTTAATGCGATCAATAACTGAAGATTTATTTTTCAAATCCATTTCTTTAACAATTGCACCTCTTTTGGTTCTTGCACTTAAGTATTTCTTAGCGATTTCACTATCAGGAAACATTTTTCTAAATAAAGCTGCAGCGTGATGCGATGCATTCAGTGGCAGGTTGTGCTCCAGTAAAAAGGCAGAGAACAGACACAGACATTCTGCATTAATAACTTTTTGATTTTTTGTTTCCGAAGAAAAATTTAATTTTTCTTTTTTTTTTTTTTTTTTTTTCAAAACAGCTCATGTTGCCCTTGTGTTTTTGTGTACACACATGTTTGAGACCATCCACCCTTCCACCATGCGAAATCGAAAAATCGCAACGACAGGCGGTACACATTGCAAATTTATTACATTTCCTTGAGGAAATAATTGAAGGAAAGTCAACTGTGTACGATTTTTGAAACGTAAACGAGTATTTCAATTTTCTCGCAGACATAACAAAAGATGATAATTTCTAAAACTGTTTCCCAAAGGCACGTGTACTCACACAACTCAGGACAAAATGACCGAAATAACTAAAGAACATCCAAATAACAGCTTGTTTTGTCCTCATTGGCTAATATGTGCCAGATGACACGCAGTGGAACACGATGCCCATTGGAGAACTGGAGAAAGACGTTTCTGGACGATATGCTCTCACTCACAAAGCAGAAGTTATCTAATTCGCAAAGTTTTGTTTTAGATATAATCTAGAGAAAATTCATTTGCTTCGGACGTCCAAAATCACTTTTTTTGTTCACATAACAAAGTATTAAGCCAAGTTCCATAAAAATCGTGAGAAATTTTAAGAATAAGAAAAAGTCGGGAGAAATATATTGTAAATCGGGTTGGCGGGAGAGCGGTCGAAAATCGGGTATCTCCCGCCTAAATCGGGAGAGTTGGCAAGTCTGCATTTTATTACATTATTTATATACATAATTTTCTATTTTTCAATTCATATACTCTACTGGCATTTAGCTTTAATGGTATAGAGCAACTAATATATAAATAACATCATTAAATTTTATACTAATTCCTCCATATGCAATTGACTTATTTAATACTTTTTTTCAGCATTCTGAAATTGAAATTAACAAGCATAATAATGAGCTTTAGGGGGGAAAATGCTAATATATATTCTTTTTACACAAATTAAATGTTTAAACATTAACTTTTTCTCAAGAATGTTTTAAAAAGATTAGATATCAATATTTTATTGGCAACACATACAATGTATTTAATGGTATTGAAGGACAGGGAAAGAGAGTAGAAACACTGAAACATTCTTTAAACCACTACATTTTTTACAACCACTATATTTATTTATTTATTTTTCTGTATAATAATCTGCACTTTTTAAAATGGTAAATTAGCCCTCTACATTGCCACACAGCTAAATTCCTTAGTAGTGCAATTTTTGTAAGGCTTCTACAATGAACCATGTTCAAATGCACACTGAAGAAGTTTGAAATCATATTTTCCTTCCAAATACCTCCTACTTTGTCACTAATCACATGACGGAGCAAGCAGGTGTTCTTAATATCATGGTGGCTTTCAAGTCAAAAATAAATGACCCAAAAAAGAAGAAATTCAGAAGTGCTTATTTACATAACAACACTTTTATGAAGTGATTTTAAACATTTCTGTTTTTTCCATAATGGTATCAAAATAACAGCTATAAGTTTTGGTACATTTCAGTTTTGGTGAGAAACAGACATATACACACAAGCAATTCATTCAATGTCTGTGATTACCAATCTGCACATGTATACATAGTTTACATTTTGCATGGATACATAGTTAATGTTCCTTCAGCTAGTGAAAATTTTCTGTTTCTTATTGCTAAACTTTAATACACTTAATATTTTCTATCATCCATCTTAGGGAGATGGCAGAACAAAAAACGTAGGGCTACATCTAACCATCACTTGGTCCTGCAAGCAGACTATAAATAAATGTGCAGAAATCCCATTGGCCATGATAATGTGTTTAACACATTATTACATTTAATAATGTGTTTAACACATTATTACCACCAATTTCTGGATTGTAGTCACCAGCAAATGTTGGTTTAAGATAAATTTCAGGTGTTTCTATTTATTGTTTATTTATATAAATTGCTAACAAAACTGCATTAAATAAAAAAACATCAATTTATATTATTATATAGAAACACCAATATATAATAAATTTATATATTGGTGTTTTTATATTATAACATATAAACACCAATTTATATTTTTGTTCATGTGTGGAGATCGTCCCCTGAAACCACCAATTTTCGAATTTTTTTCTCCTCTTTCCGAAATTTTTGAGTGAAAATCAATTGATTACTGATCTTTTACCTCTAAATAACACAAAATGACTGTAGAATCGTACATGTTTTAGGTCTTTGTACTTCAAATCGGATGCCTTTTAAAATTCGTTTTCAATGAGACAAAATAACTTCCTTTCATTAGTATAAACAACTTTTAAATTTCAAAAGTTATTCATTGCACATCATGATTTCTATCACAAACAATAAAAAATTGCTATAATTAAACTGCATATATAAAAAGAACCCTCTATATGTATAGCATTTGCTTTGTGGTTTCAGGGCGCGACCACTGAGCCACTAGAACATTGATTGTGTCACAATGCTCTAAAGGCTCGGTGGTCGCGCCTTGAAATCACTGCTCTTCACAATGGCGTTTGCTTGCTTCTCAAATAGGAAATGTTTATTTTTGCCCGGATATAGATAGGGGTTTTTGAAATCACAGAGTTATTTTATTACTAAACAATACATGCATCTGTCCAGTAAAAAAGTCTTTCTTTTCCAGAGACTTTCCTCTGACCTCGACACACTTGCTCCCCAAGCTAGTATTGTGATTTTATAAATTATTTCCTGTGATTTAAATTTAATGGAAATATACTTTGTTATAATTAAAAATAGAAATCGCATAAAGTTTCATTTAAATTAAAAAAATTTTCTGAATATTTTGAGGCAAAATACGAATAAAATAAGTATGAATGGAAAACGAATGATCCGTACCAAAGCCAAAAAGACCAAGCCCCTCCCCAATTAACATAAAAAAAAAACCAAAAATTTCATGTGCCATATTAAAAGAAACTAAATAATGCTGAGCATATACCACTGAAGATCCAGGCAATGTATATTTTGTAGCACAAGGAAGAAACCTCATAGAACAAGATACATGTGCGAAACATGCTATGTGGGTCTATGCATGTACCAAAAATATAAAACATGCTTTGAACAATGTCACAAAAAAAAATTTGTTCTTTGAAATTTTTTTTAAAAAAGTCTTTGTTTATTTTACTGAGTCTTTTTTATCCATTGAGCCAAACGTCCTTATTACGTAGGAAATTTTAGTTTCACAGCTATAGAAAAATCATACAAATGTTTATTTTTTAAATTTTTTCTGACGATTTACTTTGTAAAATAATGTAAAAAAATTACATATAATGCAACTGTTACATACATTTTTTTAAAAATTCGTAAATTTCGTCATTTATTGGAAACGCGCACGTAAAAAGGTAAGTTTTTTTCCCTACTATCTCAGTAAGTTTCAAAGTCCTAGACGCACAGTGGTTTCACAGTGAGACCACCACCCACAGAACAATGGGCAAGAGTAGATTTTTTTTAATTCATATATTATTTGTCTCTAGGATTATAACATTCAATTTCTATAGTTAAAAAAGTTATAAAAATAATATTGCGTGTATCAAAGGGTTAAATAAAATGTGTACTGTAGTCACTGAAACACATTGATTCCTGTTTCTCACTATGACCACTGTAACACAGTAGCACTAAATGAAGTTTTTTAAAACGATATACGAGGGATATTCAGAAAGTAAGGAACGTTTTGGAATTAAAAAGAAACTAAGTACAAGAAAAAAAAATTATTATATGCATCAGAAAGAGCGACTAAAATTCTACTTTTGTACACAGTCCACCAAACAAACTGAGGCACTTATCATAGCGGTGGACAAGCTTTGAAATTCTTCGTCCTAGAATTCTGCCGCCTGCGATCTCAGCCACTCAGTGACGCGCACCCGCAGCTCTTTGTCATTGTCAAAGTCGCTGTGTTTCTAGCCAGTTCTTCATTCTTGGAAACAAGTGAAAATCACTAGGTGCAAGAACGGGACTATAGGGAGGATGAGGAAAAACCTACCATTTGAATGAATTAAGGAGTTCTTGAGTGCGGTTTGCCGTGTGAGGTCGGACATTGTCATGCAAAAGCAAAATTTTGGACATCAACTTTCCTCGGCGCTTGTTTTGAATTGCTCTCCTAAGTTTGCGCAAAGTTTGACAGTACCGCTCAGAGTTTATTGTGGCACCACGTTCGAGAAAATCAATCAGAAGCACACCTTGCCTATCCCAAAACACAGTCGCCATAATCTTCTTTGGTGACAAGGTTTGCAAACATTTTCTTGGTCTTTTGGGGGAACTTGTGTGCCCCCACTGCATGGACTGTAATTTTGTCTTGCAATTCACGTGTCTCACCCACGTCTCGTCACCAGTTACGATTCGATCCAGTAATGAATCGCCATGTCTGTCATAAGCCTCCAAAAATGTCAAAGCTGCCTCCATTCGCTGACCTTTATGGTGGTCTGTAAGCAATTTCGGCACCCATCTTGCACAAAATTTGTGGTAGCCTAGTTTTTGTGTGACAATTTCAAACAAAGTCCGTGACAAGTAAAACAATAAAGTCCATGAACAACAAAACAACAAAACAATAAAGTCCGTGAAACTTGTAGAACACTAAGCGAAAGCTTTGTTATTGTAAAATGGCGGTTTTCACGAATCTTTTGATCAACTTTAGCGACCAGTTCGTCGGTCACAATGCTAAGGCGTCCACACTTCTCTTCATCGTGAACATTAGTTCGGCCATTTTTAAACTGAATGCACCATTTCCAGATTGAACTTTCATTCATTACGTTGTTTCCGTACACTTCACACACTTGCCGATAAATTTCCATAGGTTTTAGGTTTTTTGCCAACAAAAACCGCATCACATAAATTTGAATATTGAAATAAAACGGGCAGCGTGGAAATGTTCCCATTGTGATGGCTGGACGCCGACTGAGATGCTGAGCACGCAGACACCAAAATACATATGATCGGCGTGCACCTAGCGACGTCAGACGGAAACGTTCCTTACTTTCTGAATAGCCTACGTAAAATTTCAACAGCCTCAGCCCATAAATAAAGACACAGCACACAAAAGTTAATCTGAAATCATCAAAATAACAGTAGACATGTTTCTAGCGTTAATAAAAATAATTTTAAAGAATTGCAAATATTTTTTATTAATGCAATGTTTTAATGCTTTATTAATTTCTGCCAATTTGAACTAGCTATAACCAATTTCACTAGCAAGACAAAAACTATTTTGTTTGCAGAAAGGCAATTGTGACCAGATGACTAAACAAGAGAAAAAGTGATGAACTTAGTATAATATATCTATATTAGTGCCTCAAAACACTGACCAGTTCTTACAACATAATAATTGATTGAAAAAAAGATAAAAGAGTTGAGGGGGGAAATCTTCTTTAGAATTTATGTAACATACTTATCAATATGTTTCTCTTACTTGTATATTTCTCTGTTAAAACTTTCAGCACATGATTTAGAATCTTCCGATTTATTTACATAATTCTATCTCTCCCAAAAGTTTCTTTGGAAAATTTTTATGTTTTCTCAGAACCCTAAAGATAGTTAGTTTCCTTTTATTCATGCATTTAAAATCAATTCATTCATATTTCAAAATCTGTTACCTTTCCCTCTCACTGACATAAAACAATAAATAAAGATCAGGTGATGGTATATCATAAATAGATCACCTGGACAAAAATTAATCCTAAACAAGCAAGCGCATTTTACTGAACAGCAGAAACGGCAAATTAATCAATAAAAATAAAAAAAGTGGGTGGATATAGAAAATATTAGCATTTTCTGGAGATTCAGTATTCATAATACATTCATAAAATTGTAAATATAAGAGGTCTTCAACTTTGAGGGAACGCACGTTCCTCTTTCTCTGAAAAGCATGAAACACAAAGTATGTTGTTTATTTAAATTAATTTCTTATAAAATTGCATAAAATAATACAACATCTGTTTCTCATGATAAAAATTAATGTTTGACAAAATATAAATTTTGAAAAAGTGCATACTTTATGAAACTTGAATACTGAAGATATGATATATATCTAAAACGAAAATTGGGATAAAATGATTAGTAATTTTGTGCATTTTGTGAAAATACAGCGCAATTATTTTTCAATATATTCATTAAAATGGCTTTGTGTGTGCAACACTCAATCACTTAAAAAATATTGTCAATTGAGTAAAACAATTTTTTTATCATATTATTGCATCACACAAGTTGTCTGAAAGTAAAAGTATTTCTGTTAACACGCAGTTTTTGTTTCAAGCAAAACAAGCATGTATTTCATGGCTTCATTTCATAGTTGAGAATACTGGGTGACTTTGAAGTGAGATGTTCAAAGTTTGTGCAATTTTTTGAAAGCACCACTATTAGTTTATCTGAATGAGTGTAGTTTCAAACTTATTGTCATATGTATTTCATGGCTTGATTTCATAGTTGAGAATACAGTCAAAATTCGTTAATGCGGACTCTTCGGAACTTCGGCGATTCCGGATTATCGATTTTTCCAGATTATAGATCATCAGTTTAAATCTGGTAAGATGGCATGTAGAAATTATAAAATTAAAAATATGAAACCATAATTTATGAAATAAAGAACAATTATGATCTAAAAGGTATCAAAATTTACAAAAAAAAAAAAAGCTTAATATTTATTTGTTTACTTTATTAAACATTTCTTTTAACGTAAGTTGTTTAAGTTGCTTCGTTTTTTATGTGATAATACATTCTCTTTAATTCTATAAACAGACATAACTTCTTGTTCAGTTACAAAGTTCCGCTGTTCAAGTCCTATAATTGCTGTGTCTACCGACTAATTTGTCAATCAAAATTTTTTCGTTTTCAATAACCTCTGTCACTTTCTTCTCTATCGGAAGCGAATTATAATGACAAGGAATTTGATTTAAATCATATCAAAGACGGAGCACATCGAGATGAAATACATTTAGTAAGGAATTATAAGCCAAATAAAATAAAAACGTCTGCCCTGAAGATAAGGATAGTGCTGACAGATCAACTTCCAATTCATTGCGTACTGCTGCGTTAAAGATAAACAAAGTTTAAATACACAAACGTTAAAGTTTAGATAAACAAAGGATATGCCTTTATCCATTTTTTGCAGCAATTCCACTTTTTGTTTTATGAACTTCGAAACATACTTTCGGTTTGTAGATCCTTTACATATTAATAAATATATATCAGAAATTCTATTTGACATAATCGAAAGTTCAAGCTTACTTTTATAAAATTGCTCTAACAGTCTGCAGAAAATAATAAGCCGGATCCAATTCGAAGATTAAGGAACAACGCAATCTGCAACATTAACTGAAATAGATAATTAGATAATTTTAGCTTAGCTTATACCGTCCGTTGTACATTAAACGCGCACTCGTAAACATATTTTGCGCACACGCACAAGCATATTCGCAGCCGTAAATGTCTTACGCGCATGCGTCAAAGCGACGCATGCGCAGAAAGTTTGTAGCTTTGAGGTCCGGATTATAGATCATTCCGGATTATGGGTGTCCGAATTAATGACTTTTGACTGTACTAGGTGATTTTGAAGTGATATGTAATGAAGTTTGTGGAATTTTTATGAAAACATCACTATTGGTTCATCTGGATCAGTGTAGTTTCACTTATTTGGAGTAATGGTACATAAGGATACTGGCAGCTATACCGCAAAGTTTAAATCGCAAATGTTTAAAATATGCTGACATTAATGATGTTTAAGCTCGTTCAGAAAGTCTGGAATGGAAACAAATCTGATAGATATTAAAGGAAACAGGAAAATTTGTCAGCAACGATTATTTCCAAAAGGACAGCTTTCTGTGGACCCAACCCTGGGAATATCTGCCGATTGCCAATGAAATGTTAAATTATATATCATCATAAAAGGTAGAATAATAATACAAATAAATAGTACTTAAGACAATAATCAATAATGCTATTAACATCTGTTTATAACTAATTTAATTATACGTTCTTCCTTTGTTTCCCTTACAAAGTTTAATACATCACATAATCTTACACTCACTATTTTCAGGCAGTGAAAATAATAATAAAAAGGAGGCAAATACATTAGTACATTAGTAAATACGGTATTTGAAAAGATAATAATAAAACTTAACTAATAATATTAACATAAAACTTTTCAAATGCATAAACTTAAGAAATAACCTGCATATATTGTTCTGATAAATGTGTCTGGATCTTTAATACCAATAACTTCAGATATAGGAGAAACGTCCAGCTTGGCAGCCACTCTTGGAATCAAATTCTATATTTAAAAATTATTAAATACAGAAAATTGTAATCTTTCAGATAATATATGCAAATAAATTTCACTTTTAAAATTAAATACATAACCAAAACCCTTGTACCATCTAATGGCATTCTAACTCAGGAGGCTTATAAGTTAACCATAAAAATCTGACTGGTATACTTCTTGAGATTTATGCCTTCTGCACATTAAAATTCAATACATTTTTTTATTTAAATAAGTTATATCTAATACTAAGCATTATCTAAAAATGTATAAAAATTTTTATATAATTTATTTTAAGAAAATTTCCATCTCATGCCTTCACATTATCAATTATATCTCTAGAACAAGATTCCACATATTGACAATTTTTATCGTACTGTAAAGTCTGCAGCAACAGCTAAACTCTCAAAAAGAGCTCTTTCTATGCTCAAACCCACTATGACTGATGGGCTCTGGAAAGTAGGGGGAGATGGAAATCAACACCCTGGAAATTTTATGAAAAACCTTTCTACCATGGAAATCACAATACAGACTTACAGCCCCCCAAAAAAAGGCTATGAGATTGAACATGTACGAAAAATACTCCAATTTAAACATTAAATAAACAGTCCTGAAATCATTCTAAAAATGTGTAAACACCCTCTGTATTTACAACTAGTTTTGATATTTTGTCTCTTGAAGGAGTATAATTTCTTATACAGTCAAAAGTCGTTAATCCGGACTCGTCGGGACTTCGGCGATTCCGGATTATCGATCATCAGTTTAAATCTGGTAAGGTGGCATGCAGAAATTATAAAATTAAAAATATGAAACCGTAATTTATGAAATAAAGAACAATTATGATCTAAAGGGTATCAAAATTTACAAAAAAAAAAAAAAAAAAAGCTTAATATTTATTTGTTTACTTTATTAAATATTTCTTTCAATGTTAGTTGTTCAAGTTGCTTCGTTTTTTATGTGATAATACATGCTCTTCTATAAACAGAGTTAATTTCTTGTTCAGTTACAAAGTTCCACTGTTCAAGTCCTATAATTGCTGTGACGAGAATACCAACTAATTTGTCAATCAAAATATTTTCATTTTCAATAACCTCTGTCATTCGAGGAATTTGATTTAAATCATATCAAAGACGGAAATACTACATTTAGTAAGGAATTATAAGCCAAATAAAATAAAAACATCTGCCCTGAAGATAAGGATAGTGCTGACAGATCAACTTCCAATTCACTGAGCTGCCGCAGCGTTAAAGATAAACAAAGTTTAGATGAACAAACGTTAAAGTTTAGATAAACAAAGGATGCCTTTATCCATTTTTTGCAGCAATTCCACTTTTTGTTTAATGGACTTCAAAATATACTTTCGCTTTGTAGATCCTTTACATATTAGTAAATATATATCAGAAATTCTATTTCGCATAATCGAAAGTTCAAGCTGACTTTATAAAATTGCTCTAACGGTCTGCAAAAAATAATAAGCCGAATCCTATTCAAAGATTAAGGAACAATGCAATCTGCAACATTAACTGAATTAGATTATTTTAGCTTAGCTTATATCGTCCGTTATACATTAAACACGCATTTGTAAACGTATTTTGCGCACACGCGTACTCGCAGCCGTAAAGGTCTTACGTCAACCCGACGCATGCGCAGAAAGTTTGTAGCTTTGACGTCCGGATTATGGGTGTCCGAATTAACGACTTTTGACTGTATGTTAGTTGGCAAAATCAGAAATGCTTTTAACTTTTAATGATTTTACATTATTTCAGGAATTCTCCTCCAGGAATATAGATACAGAAAATTATCATATAATTATAGTTACTGATCAAAGCCTTAAAATTTAAGTCAAAAGAAAGTTTAAATTTTTAATCTGAAAAATTAATTTCTATTGAATAAAATAGCACTCATGAGTTTCCTGACAAAATACTACAATTATCAGGCAAGTTATATTCAAAATGCCTTACATAAATTTTAATGTGATAATTAATAAATTATATGAAAACTGTCAGATTTATTTAAATTTATTTTTACTTTTATATAATAATTTAGATTACTTCATAAATAAATTATTTCAGTTTCTTAAATCAAAATTAGTTTTTAATGGTCTCTGAAAAATAAAGCAAATCATTTGAAGGCTATATACCTTAATTTTAAAAACTATGGACTCTGTGGAAAATAGACTCATGTCTACATTATGCAGAAAGATAATCATGAAAACACAGCTTACCATTCTAAGAATTATAGAAACCACTACTGTGGTTTGTTTTATATGTGGTATTGTGTCTTATATATATATTACACTATCATAATCCATTTCAGTTCATTTTTCAAAGAACTTAGAACAAAACTTCTAAGCAACTCTTAACGAATGTTCAATTCACAAAAGAATTTTGAGGCATCATTTTCATTCGATTTTATCTCTAATTAGTTTGATTAATTTATATTATCTTGACTCAATGGCTCTTAGCTCTATTTTTCCATCTTATTCAGCATTACAGTTACACATAACACATGATACTGAAAATGAATTTTGAACCGTGAATATAAAGGCAAAATGATAGAAGTGGACCAGGCCACTGCCACACAGAGTGGTAAAAGCAATTATTGAGTTTTATCAATACTTTCTATGTTATGAAATCTATTAAAGGACTTTTAATATTAAATACTGTCTTATTTCACAAAATACAATTTTAATACATTTAAATTTATTTAGCATGTGAAAATATGCAAATTTATTTAGAAGTTACCTTTCCAAATGCAGATGCTCCAGCAATAATATGTGTGAAATTAAACTGCTTCTGAGCAGCTAGCACTAATGAGGTCAAACTTTCTACAATATATAAGAATATTTCTATATAAGAAATTATACAAATATATTTATTAATATAATACTTTAATATCTATGATGTAAATTTAACTCACCAGGTAATAAACCCTTAAAAGCTTCATTTTCTGCATTAAGAATTTTCTTTACACCATCTGCCTTTGTCAGTTCTTCTACTACCTGAAAAGTATAAATGAATATAGTTTTTAAAATGTTACAAAATCTTTAAAATCTCCAGTATGAAAACATTCAAAAGACTCCACTTAAATACTAATATTAAAAAAATCCAGCAAAACACCTTGGTTGATTTGGTTCTCACAACACTGCATGTGCATCTTCTGATCAAGTGAATGGCTACAAAATTCCATATCCAATTTCAAAAATGATGGAAGCATATCCACAAGGCAACACTGGTGTATATTTCATGGCCATGAATATGCCAATGGATAGTCATTTTAGAGATGGATGTACCCGAATGGAATTGATTTATGTATAGCACGACTTAATCAAAATGAAGAACAAAAACTGAATTTGTGTCGTGATACAAGTTAAGAAAGGTACAAAGGTTGAAAACACGAAACATCTTAAGATATGTACACAGAAAGCACTTCAACTCTCAGGATAGTAAAAAAGTGGTATGAAAGATTTTTGGGGATTTTAACTTCAATGAAAAATCTGCTCTGGACAGCCTTTCAGCAAAATTAATGAGAACATGCGTGTCTCAGTCAAAACTTATCCAAAAGATTGCAATTGAGGAGATTGCACAGAGGCTTAAGCTTGGCAATTCATCTGTTTTTTGCCATTTCCAGAAACCTTAATTCATTTAACATCTTCCCTTACACATTTTTTTGGAAAAAATTGCAAAAAATCATCACTTTTTTTTTATTTTATTATTAAATACAAGGAAACGAAACAAAACAAAATAAGATTTTAAGTTGAATTTTTAATTTTTTACATGTGTAAAAGCATTTAGTTTTAATATTAGTTTACTATCCCGTAAAAGCATTTAGTTTTAATATTAGTTTACTATCCCGAGTTATCTCGGGCAAATAAAAAAACGTTTAAATATTTAGTCATTTGTAATGATAGCTTTTGAAACAAGGGACAACACAAAGCGATACCTGACATTCTACGCACTAGGTATCTAGGTCTCTTTTCTTACTGGCTTACCTCTGGAATCTCTTTTATGGGAGTACAGAGTAACACTGAGTCGTTGGATGCGATTGTTTTTTTTTTTTTTTCAGTAGCAGGAATAATATCTGGAAAATGCTTTGACCTCTTCATAATCACTATCAGAAAAATCATCGCTTTCAGAAAAATCATTGCATCGTGCCATTATTTTAATTTTTTTCAACACAACTATCATTTCTTTATACATTACTAATCCACAAGCCGACGTATACTAGATTATTAGGAAAAACGTGTGACCGATTCCGCCACAAGAACCGCGAAACCAACAAAACTTGGCAAATTTCCAATCAAAGCTGACTATATTTCCTTTCATTTCCTCCAGGCCGAGTAAAACCGTGATAAAACAAATCGTACTGACAAATTCTGCTTTGCCCGAGTTTTCTCGGGATAATAATTAACTGCAATATATATGAACCCGGGATAACTCTGGATAATCAGGCAAGCGGTTAACACCTACATTTGCCATGACGTCTGCATCATCTAATGAAAAATAAGAAAGTGCATGCCAACTTCAGTAATTTTTGTTTTGTTTTTTTTTTTTAATAAAAGCCATGAAAAGCAGCTACTGTTATATTCCGGCAGCAAGCCTCCTCCAGGCACCTAAATCTGCTACAGCTCTCTGTTCTCTCCCGTCTTTTTTTTTTTCATTCCAAGTTTTATAAGACAACAGTAGCTCTATTTAGACGTCTGACTGGACATGACCAATTGCAAGACCAACTCTACAGAATTGGAGTGGTAGATTACCCAAACTGTTTTTTTTTTTTTTTTTTTTTTTTTTTTGTGAGAATCTGACCAGATTATGATTTCTGAATATTTAAATAATTGTATTACACATTCTTGGTATGAGAACATAGTTAAAAAGTACTGGAGAGCACATTAGCTAATGGCTTAAGCACTAATGTTTGCATTTGTAAAATAATTAAATAATATTCCAGCATATAATGCACATCTATAATTTCAAACTGTTTTCTTAGGTATATTCTCCATATAACATGCATCCTTTTCTTTATCAAGAAACCTGAAATGTACATGTACGTATTCTACTGTCGCTTTTAATTTCCTCTGAATGGTTATTAATACACATGTCAAGAGGCCATTGACTGAACCTGTGTGATTTCAAATCAGAACACCTTATTTTCGAATAACATTCCACAGAGCATTAATCTTTAGTACGCAGTTCCAATCGAGTTTTATCTGAACATGTAAATAACTGCTTATCTTTTTTAAGTCATTTATTCGAAGATTTCTCCCAGGCTTTCAGAAAATTTTATTCTGAATTGACGAGCAATAAGAAGAACATTACGAGTGAGGAAAACGCTTGAAAAAGTAGATAATTCTGCATACAGGGTAGGTTATATTCAATGCAGGCATGCACAAGAATGTGATTCTAGATTTTTGAAAAAAGGGAAATACAATTTGAGTTAAGAATGCACTTCTGTCCTGAATAAACTCACAGAATTGACAGTCACAGGTTTTGTCTTTCTGCACTCATTTGAAGCCATGATTTTGAAGTGAACATCAAAAATCACATTTGCTTTACCTGAAATACGGTTGAGCTAATCTTTTGTTAGAAGTAAAGATAGCTCTTTCAAAAAGAAACAAACACAGTGCTCTTCAAATGCAAAGTCATTCAATTCGTGAAAGAAAATGGAAATTGTGATGTAGCAAGGATCTTTGGTATTGATGGAAGCTCCAAACATGACAGTTGAGAAAAATCAAGTCACAATAATTAATACCTCAAAAAATACACTTTGTATAAAAACTAGAACAGCCTATCCTAGAAATGTTGCGAATTGGATCCTAGATGATCGTCAGACTTGATTAATTGTAAGAAGAAACAGTATATGTTTATTTGCCTTAAAGTGAGCAAAAAATAATGCAAAAAGCAAATATCTTAAAGCAACTTATAGTTGATTTATGGCAAGGAATAATTTAGTTCTTGGAGAAAAAACAACAGTTTCACAAAGGCTTCCAAAAGATTTGTACAAGTTGATAAATTCCCAGAAGTATGCTATTAACCTACGAAGGGAAAATTATTTACCGTCACATATTGCAAATATGAACGAAACTAGAGTAATATTTGATATGATATGAAATAAAACGATGAGAAAGGAAAAAGGTTCACATAATAACAACAGGTTATGAAAAATCTCACCTCACCTAATTTAGGTTTCAGATGTACAAAACTGAAACCTATAGTTATTTTTAGCGTGTTCAGGACCAGCAAAAGAAGAAAGAAGTGCATCCCCTAGGCCTGCATGCTTTGAAAGTACACATACTCACAGGACTGGGCGATTTTCCCTGTTAACACTAATTTCGTTTAAAAATTCATCATTAATACAATTAAATAAATTAAAATTTACAGCTTATTATCATTGATAGTATCTAAATATACTGTAATGAAATTTTCATGATATTTTAAAAACCATTGCAAATTTTAAAGAAAACTGCTTTATTTTAATATTACAAAAATTACACATATGCACTGTTGAGAAAAAAAAAAAAAAAAAAAAAAAAGGACACTTTAAAACACTGAACAAATCACTAGTACAGATATTTGATATGTCCAACTAATTTCATAAACATAACAAAATTAATGAATTATTCAAATTTATGAAGTCCAACTAGTGTCTATCCTCCTGAAAGAATCGAACATGACCAGTTGTTTAGATGTTCAAATTTCCCACATCCAACAACAACAATAAAAAAACTCAGAACTGAAACTGCATACTGAAGATCAATGCTGTGTGGAATGTTATTCGAAAATATAACAGACTTCAAATGCTATCTAGCGTCATTTAAAATCTTAAATAAGATGTTCTGATTTGAAATCACACAGGTTCAATCAAGGGTCTCTTGACATGTGTGTATCAATACAATACAATAAGTAGCTGTTGGAAGGTGAAAAAACATCTACAAAAGGAGACCAAATGCATCAATCATGCCAGTCCAGAAATAGCCTAAGTGGATAATAAAAATAGCGAATAAAATTTTTTACTTCTGAAGCACAGAAAACTGCTAAGATTTTTTCATAATTTTAAAGGAGCCCACTTACATCAGCGACAGATAGAATTTGAAAAGCATGTACTTCCTGACTTCAGTAATATGAATATAGACAAAGAAATGAAAACAAGTTTCTCAATTTTTGAATGCAGAACTAATAAATGGGAAAAGTGCAGAATCGCCCACTGCTTGGCACGTTTCTAAGAATTGCACATACTCGATATCTATGTACATATCAACATATTTTCACTTAAAAAAAAATCATCCCAGAATTGCACAAAAATGGCATTGTGCACTCCCTTGACTATCCATGTACACATCGAGCTATTTTAACTTAAAAAGTCAAAGAAAATCGACAAAAATCCAATTCTTCTTACTCTTGTAAAAAGCACCAAACAAATAAGTGGGCGATTCTGCACTTTAGCCCTAATAAACACCAAATTCAATAATATGGCTCAAATTATTGTTTTCGTATTAAAAAGTAACGCAATTCACTGAAAAAAAATATTTTAACACATTCAATTAAATGCTGCAGACAATAAAATTTTACACTTACAAAATAATAATTTTCAAACTAACTATGAAAACTTACAGATGCTGTTTTAGTGCCAGCTACCAGCAATGCGACTTCATTTCCTATCTGTTTAGCTGCAGTTATTGCACTAAGAGTGATGGGCACCAACTTACCATCATTATGTTCAGCAATCACAAGAGTACTTTGATACCGTCTCAACAGTAAAACGCTGAACTGAAAATATAATTAATTAAATTTATCGAATGATATAAAGAATTAGAAGTCTCATTAATTACTCAGTAACATTAAGAATTTTTTAATTTTCGACATATAAACAATCGAAAACTACTTAAAGTAATGCAAGAACTAGCTAAAAAAAGTAATTCTTAGCATAATTATTATGTCGAAACTTATGATGAAGGCTGCTTAATAACAGAGCAGAACCACAGACTTTTAAATACATTAAAAATCTCATTCCTTATCCAAACTAATATTACGTAAGTTCAAAAAACATAAGTATGCTATAGCTAGCTACCTGATTCAGTCTTCCACGGCTTGCATTAAACATTTTTTGTCACTGAAATCCACAGGTTCTAAGATAAAATAGTCAAAGATAATTATATGATTTAAAGTACATGAAATATTACAAATTTTTCAGTGTTACACAGCAAACATTTGACACACCAAAGATCAAAGCCTTCCACGGATTACAAACTAATCAAACAGAAATAATGACGACAGATATCTGTGCCTCTAAGCGCTAATTTGTAGGGATTTCTTCTTCTTCTTCTACTACTTCTTGAAGCTCGGCTTCCCTTTGATGCTCAAATGAAAGAATTTGTAGGGATTTGTTTGGTGTTCCCTACGAATTCTTTACTAAGCATACTACCATGGATAAGGCTCCTCTAGATATATAGGTATATAGGTATTAACCATGGAGGAAGACCATTATTCACTTCCCGCCAGCTGATGTGGTAAAAGTTTATTCAGACATAACACAATTTTTGAGAACGCAAAAAATGGAAAAGAAAGCTTAATTAAACGTGCTGAAAATTAATGTGAGGAAAGGATACGCATAATAAAAAAAATTGTTCCAAGCTCAGATGGATATCGCAATTTATTCGGACAAAACAATTACAAAGAAAGAAGCAACTTTCGGATGCAAGGCATTAACAACCCTGAGTCAGAAACATAAAGTTCTTAGATAGTATCTTGAGGTATAGAGTGTCAGCTACGGCCAAGGCCAATGGCCTTGCTACGGCTCAACTAAGATAGTTTGAGATAAAGTTCTGGGTAACGGCACGCTCTCCTGATCGGGTGGTCTGACTGGCCTAGTTGGATTCATCTTGGAAAGTTGTCCATGAATAGGCTGACAGGTTGACCTAAGGCTCCTATATACCTCAGACTAAGGCCTATATACGAACCTAAGTATGCTATAGCCTTACAAATTAGCGCTTAGGCACAGATATCTCTCGTCATTATTTCTGTTTGATTATTTGTAATCTGTGGAAGGCTAGTTGGTCGTTGGTGTTGTGTCAAATGTTTGCGGTGTAACTCTGAAAAATTTGTAATATTTTATGTACTTTAAATCACATAATTATCTTTGATTATTTTATCTTAGAACCTGGGGATTTCAGTGACAAAAAATATTTAATGCAAGCCGTGGAAGACTGAATCAGGTAGCTAGCTATAGCATTCTTATGTTTTTATATACCTTAGGTATATAGGAGCCTTAGGTTGACCCTGCAATATTAAAAATTCCCTGTCCATCCTAATATTATAATACCAACAAAACAGACCTCAGATAACATCAACAAATTTTACTACGTTGAGAATGATGTTGAGGACAATAAAAAATGTCTGGTATGGTAGAACACGATTTCCATGGCGGCCAATCCAGTTACGGCAGACGTGTGAGATTTCACATGAAGAGCAAAGTTCATCAGACACTTCTCGCTCGCCATTTGTTCCTAGTGAGAATTGTAGCCCAGCACTGAAGACAGCACTGTTAGTTAGACTTTATCACACTTTCGGTCAGGATAGATAATAAGGCAAACTTGGGGTAAAGCTCACGGCTAATTATTCAGGAAAAGAACTAGTCTTCTGCAATGCAGACTAATTCCGAAATTTTCTTATAATGATGCCATGGGCAGTTCTGTCCAAGGACAGTGAAAATCGAACTGATTAAGACCGCTTGTGCGATTTTTACCACAACACTGTTTTGATGATTGAAAAAGGGTGATTTACTTTTCTGAACTATCAATTTTATTTCCCTCTTTTGCAAAGTCAATTTATTTTAAGCAGGATGATTGAAAAGAATGTGTAAACGGGATCTTTTTACTCTTTTATTATATCGAATGCTGAAAAGTAGGAAAACTCAAAGCCGCCGTTACCCTTACTTTAGCAAATGACAAGAACTAGTAGCTCTTTACTATCCCTCAGTACATTTTTATGCTCTGTTTCTTGCGAGGATTTTGCTAGTGAGACAAAACTACATACAGTAGAACCTCACTTAACGACTAAATTTTACTCATAATGCGAGACATTCTTTGAGCGAAATAATGTTTTTCATAGGAATTAAGGTAAAATAGGATAACTCGTCCATTCCAAAAACAAACATATTTTTAATAATGTAATTTGTGATTTATAATACATACCTTTTTTATAAGAAAGTTATCTAAAGACATATGTTTTTGCCTACCCATTAAACTTTGGTGAAAATGAAACACAGCATTACTGTTAAATAAATTTGCAGCCTGCTTTGCCTTATTAGCGTATGCTTCTTAACGTACAGTGCAACAGTTCCCCATGCTCTCAGCATATGCTTTATTTCACTGAAAAGCTGTTATTTCCTTATTCCAGTTGCGAAATCTCCTTCACAACTCCTTGCTATGACACAGAATGCAGCTCCATACGCTCCTGGCTATGCTTTTACACTAGCTTATCTATATCGTTGCTATATCCACGTACAGGACCATAATCTTAGACTAAGACACAATCTCTCTTTTTTTTTTTACAGGCTCCACAGGCACTTGCTCAAACCCCTCGCAGTAGCTTTCGAAAACCCTGTTCGGCCAAAGCTTCTGGCCAAGATGCAAGCAGGATCTGTACGTAACGTCATGGTGTCTCCACCATGGATCTTATAAGAAATAGACTAACCCAAATGGGTTTTCTCTCTCGTCTGACACATTACGACCACGCAGTACAGGCTGTTCTGTTGAGTAATAGAGTAATAGAGAAGACTTGCAGAAACTTAACAATGGCTGGCGCGTGTAATTGTCAAGAAAAAGCTGGTGGTAGCGCCTCATTTCACAAGAATTTATTTTACTATTTTTGAAACTGAGATTGATTTTTAAAAATTTAGCATGTTTATCAAGCATAATTAACGTTCCAAATAATTATAAGGCTGTTGCATGCTTTCAGGCCTCTATAAATTTTTTTAGCTTTTCCTATGCTCCAAAGAAATTTGTAACTACTTCTTTTAAAAAATAATATTTTAAATCTGAACTAACAGAAAAATTCAAACAAACAATTTTCTCTTACAATTTTTATGCTTTTTATTGGTGTAAATAAGTAAAAAATACCAAAAAGCCTGAAAGCGAATGTTTGAAAGTTTCTGTTAAAAATTTTTAATTGCGTTTTTTTTTCTTTCAAAATTATAGGTGAATATTATAACAGAATATTCTGCAAAGGAGTTTTTTTTCAATTATATTTCAAGATAGATCACAGTGATAAACACTTTCAACTCTCTAATAATTTTTATACATTTATTCTAATGTTAAAAATTGTATTTAGCTGTAATAATTTATTGTGCCAGTATTTTATAATGATTATATTTGTTTCTACTTATACATATGATTTTTTTATTTACTGTGAATTTATTTTATTAGCCCAAATGGGAGGTAGCACAGAAGGGTTATTAGCTTCGAAACGGCATTTTGGTTTTTTCATTATAAATGTCCGTTTCGCTTTTCAAATTGTTGCTACCAAGTGTTATCGCCCTGTATTATATTTAAAGAAATGAAGAAATCTGCATGAATGTCTGTATGTTTCTCGATGAGGAAGGTTGTTCTCTCAAGTTCTGACTTATAAACTGTTTGGAGAAAATAAATGAAGCTTCTTTATCTCGGTTACACAAATTGCAAGAACTATTAATATCCTCTAGAATGTGAGCATTATTGGAATTTGTGGCAGGGGAAGTTGCGGACGGATCACCTCTTCCATGAAGCTACTTTTTTCTTAGCTGCAATTTGTTTTCCCTCTTCTGCCCTATTTTTGGCTCTTTTTCTATATTCCGCTCACGAGAGTTTTCTAGATGCACTCATGATTTCTTTTACACTAAATGAAATATGGACTAGCCTCAGTAACTAAAAAGCGTAATTACTCTCCACAGTCCTAGAGCTGCAACCGCTAATTAAATTGTTGCATCTTGCTAAATATAGTGCGGACTACTCAAAGCAGGCACATTTAAAAACAGGAAAAGAGAGAAAAGAAAATGTAAAAATAATAAATTCAGCTTTAAAAAGCCCAAACACGCGCCGCCGTTCTGACCAAAGTCAAACCATTGTCGACGTGTTTTTTTTTCCTCATTTTTAAGATTGCAATTTTTAAATTTTCCCATCAAAATGTAAATAGAGACTGGTGGTTCGGTAAGTCTCTTTAAAAGTAAAGGTTTCCAAACAAAGGCCCACCAAGACTTTTCAATAAGTTAAAAACGAACCTATCAGTGCAACTACCTCAAATTCTTTGCTTTTCCCCAATAGAGAAGTTTGATATTTATCTCATCCAAACCTGCTTTTGTTGAGGGTAAAAATATTTTAAGCCCCCACCCACCATGTTGACATTTTTGGCTAAAACAAAGCAAAAGAAACCAGAAACACGACCTGGGTCCTTTTCATACCTTCATATGCATCTTGTGGGTTAAATTGTGAATAGTTGTCGATAAGCAGAGTTTGTATATTTGATTTACGCTAGGTTACTCATATTCATTTGATTCTGAAAAATGAAGTGGTTTTGGTCTTCAAATGAGTGCAGAATGCAAGCTGGGATAAAAAAAATTACGATTTTTTTTAAAGAAAAATGGTCATTTCTACGTTTTTGTTGAACACAAGAGTAAGCCACTTCGTCATATTTATAATGAGAGTGTAGCTGTACTGAACAAAATTGATCATGAAGAGGTATTACGATGTTAAGCACATATTCTGCATTAGAAGGGACATTTTTGAAGGGTTAAAGTCAATGAATTAAAATTAGAGTTAAATTATCAACAGTTTTTTCTTCAGAGTGAACAAAGAGTCCGAAATTAGTGTTTGTATTAGCTACGTGATAGCAAAAAGAAAAATTCCTAAACGTGGAAGACCATTCATTGATGGAGAGTTTGCAAAAGAATGTCTTCAGTATGCCATTGATGTGCTTTGTCCATCATAGGCTTAAGATATTTAGAACATTATCTGTCTGGTGCAACAAAGTATGGAGATGCCTGTTTCCCTTGAAGGATGGAGTTCAACAATTCATGCAATCCAAAGAGAAATCCGTTTGCGAGTTCCATGATGAGAAGTAGTAAAGAGATTTTGCATTTCTTGTCAATATAACTGGTTATCTCAATGACTTGAACTACCACTTACTGGGAAAAGGTCTACTTATTCATAATCTTCATGATTTTCAAAGGTTTTGAGACAAAATTAATCCTATGGTAAAGTCAATTGCTAAATAAGAATTCAAGTCACTTTCAAAAACTGATGGAGTTGGTGAATAAAACTACAACATGGAACTAGGACGCTTTGTACACTACATATCAAATCTGAGATTCGAATTCAAAAGCAGATTTTCAAACTTCTGTGAGAATGTTCTCTTTGCCATTCTCAGTAGACATCAAAAGTGTTTCACCTGAATTTCAGTTAGAATTCATAGATTTGCAGTGTGACTCTGAAGTAAAAAGGAAGTTTCTCGAAAATTTTACATGAATTGATTTTTATTCAAAGTATGTGTCCAAAGACAAGTATCCAGGAATGCATTGTTCGTGTCTTATATCTTTGGCAGTACCTACATATATGAACAAATGAAATCAATCAAATAAAGAACACATTTGACAGATTAATATTTGGTGATATTCTATGAATCATAACACAGACTTTACCAGATATCAAAGCTTTAATAAAGCAAAAACAATGCTAAGTTTCTTATTAAGACGGAAGGAACTTTCAAACTTTCATCTCACCAGTAATGCAAGTTTTTTTTTTTTTTTTTTTTTTTTTTTTTATTGTCAATGGGTTTTATAACAACATTATGTACTATTTATCATGTCACTTTCATAATTAAAGTACAAAGCATATAAATTTGACTTCCATTGACCTTCATTTTTTTAAACAAAAAACACAAAATATTGGACTATGTCTTAATTATTTGTAGTCCTGTAAATCTCCCTCTCTTTTATAAATTTCCTGTCAGTGCTACTTATCTGCCAGATAAGTAGCACTGACAGGAAATTTATAAAGATGTATGGCCCACAAATCTGTATAAATTTATTGATATGGCCCTCAGGCCTGAAAGGCTTGAGACCCCTATTTTAAGGTGCCACCACATAAGGTGATGGGGGTAAATCACATCAAAATATTACAAGTTACCAATTAAAGGCACATGACAAACTAGAACTATAAATAAGTTCTAATACTCAATTTAGGTTTTAAAAAAGAAAATTGATTCTTTAATATTTAATTAATGTATTATTCATTTCATACAGAAGTATTTTGAAATTTTCTAAGCACAAGAAGGTTACAAACTATTTCTAACATCCTAAAAAAATAAAACTTTTATATATATCAAAACTTAAGGATTCTTACTTCTTTCATAAAAATGACATATCAAGAAATATGTCAGACTCTCAGCAAAATTTAGCTCTTTGTGACAAGGAAGACTATTATAATAGCCATATCCTGTTTGAAAGAACATGGATGTCCATTTTACTGGTCATGTTTTTTTCTCCCTTTTCATTCTAAGCTAGGGTAGGGTGAAATGTCAAATGTGATGTCCTAGGAAATTTAACCACTTATCTTTTTTACAGGTATTAATGATCTAATTTTCACTAGTTTTCCCTTTCCATTGCTTTGCTTCAGAATTTTCCATGAACATGTTCGTGCCACAGCAACATAAAGCTTAATGTTACTGTGGAATGTTCCATGTTTTCACAATGCTTGGAGTTACTTTGCTTCATTTTATAACAACATAGCAAAAAGGAAAAGGCGATTGACCAAAGAAATAGAAAAAGTTCCTCAAGGTTTGTAAAGTGCTAATTTATATAAAAACATAGCACACAGAACAATACAAAGTACTGAAGACAAGTGTAACTTCTTCTCTCCCATTCTTTTAAAAACTATATACTTGTACACTTTCCCCCTTTTAATTTGAAAGTGTTTTGTTATATATAATTGTGGTTTTAATAAATAGTAAAACATGTTCTCCTAGTAAGGCTGTGAAACTAATAATAATAGGTTTTTCTGCTAATTGTTACATTTGCAAAGTATTTTTCTGTTTACAAAACATGAAGTTTGTAAAATTAAGAAAATGTGTTTATAATAAATGAGTTTCACTAAAATCAGCTATAAAATAACAAATTAGGGAATTTAATAAAATAATTTTACTATAGAGGTATAACAGAATAATTGTTGTAAACATTATATGAACACTTAATTTGATAAGGTAATTAAAAATTATTTAGAAATACAGGCAACGCACACACATACACACAACAATTTTTGAAAAGAAAATTCTTGCATAAGACAAAATCATTGTGAAAATTAAACTGTATTTAATATCCATTATAAAATGTTCATGAATTTACATGAAATTAATGATATTCAAAATATAAATATGAAATTTAAAAATTACTAAAGTGAAATAAATTTCTACACGATACCGATACATAGGCTTTAAATAACAAAAAATACAGAACATAATTTCTTTTTTTTTCATTTCACAGACATCACTGGACACATGTTGACATATAACTTTAAACTTGAAATGATTACTCTAACACAGAATTTCTCAAATTATGTTCTTTGGAACTCTGATATAAAATTAAGAATTTTAGGGATGGGATTACAAATTAAATGTTACAGTGGTAGTAAATTTTACAAAGTTACAACAGTGGGTCTTATTGTAAAGCTAATTTACTAAAATGTCTTTTTAAATGCAATGTGCAATCTGCATATAATATTTATGGCTATAATACAACAGCACCTATCCAAAATATCAATAAATGATGCAAAAAGGGATCAACTGGGACCTTACCTAACTCACAAAATATGTCAAAAATCTATGTTCATTAACATGCATGTTAATGATTTTTATATTTTTAACACTAATTTTTATAAACAAAGGATTGGATACAATAACTATGATTTGTTTAAGAATAAAACCTTATCCTTTTGCTCCTGGCTGGCTGTTATATTTATTTACTGTACTTAAAAAGGATAAAAAATGTAAAAGATATTTGATGAACAAACAAGAAAATACTTTGTTGATGGCATATTCAGTTTTTTTTTTGTTGTTTTTTGTTTGTTTGTTTTCATTAATGGGATCAATTGCACAAAATATGAAAGAGTTCCATGAGTAAACTTAATTTGGAAATGCCGTTCTAACACATTTTGTCAAAGCAATGACATGAAATAATTTCTGTACGGAAATTTCACATAACTTAAAATATATTGTACAACATTTAACAGTGAAAGATTTGAAATACATGAACATAAGAACTTAACAATTGAAAACATTTCAAACATCATGGAACATAAAAAAATTCATTATATTGGTTTAAAATAAAGTAATTCCAAAGTCCTCAAAATGTTAATAATATATAAAATCAATTATTCAGTTAATGTATGCTCAATAGAAAATATTCAAAATTTTGGCATTAATCAACTAATTGCTAAATCTCTTTTCCATGCAACATTTATTTGAGCAATGTTTATTTATTTATTTATTTTTGGCTTATATACAGTATAACACTTCTGTTCTAAATAAAATACCAGCAGATGCTAAAAGATACGAAGCCAAGTGAAAACTTTCTGTTAAAAAGGCCTTTTATACCTTCAGTAAAGCATAATAACTTACTTTGTACATTAACTTCTAAACTGCCTTAAAAATATGAGTAAACAAATTGCACATCAGACTTTAGATCAAAGTTTTAAAAAAATAATATTGAGAATAAAAATGAATATTTATTGCATATAAAAAGCAGTAAGTAAGGCACAACACTTAAAAAAGAGCAGATTAAATTATTTTTTACTTCTATACTTAAGTACAGACAGAAAATCATGTTCTTTGTAATAAGCCAGTAAATTGGCTTACCAGTAACACAAATAAACAAACCCAGACTAAGTGCAATGAAATAAAGTGCATCCACCTAACAAATTATAAATTCATAGAATTAATCTGCAGTTCCAGTGACTAACTATAAACAACTAAAAGCAAATAACTTCACTATAATTCAACACTGAATAAATAATTATAAGTGAAGGAAAAAAATTAAGAACATTTGCCTTAAAAATCTGTTACAAATGAAAAATTTTCCATAAAAAATAAAATATTTTGCATTACTGAAATGAAAAGTTAAAGCAATTTTTTTAATAATGTTAAACTACGTAACAATTTAAGATTCACCGAATGTTCTAAAATTTTTTAATCAACTTCATTATAACAAGTTGTATAAAACACAGAGCGTGCATATCAAATTCTATAATAAAAACAATATGAAAAATATTCTGGCCAAATATGATATGGCTCGGTAGAGTATGATGACACAAATTTACAGAAGTGATGAAATAGGACATATTTCATAAGTTAAATATACTATATTTTCATTTAAAAATGTACACAATGAAGCATGAGTGACAAGAGGCTTCATATCTATTACAGTTGTTTCCACAAATGCTGTATTTCCACTTGCAGTATGGAAGCACTGTTTCGTAGGGAGAATTGGTCAACATAAAAATGCATTCTTTGCACAAGTAAACATGCTTCACCAACACTAGAAGGCACTGCAAAACTACATTCCAAGTTACTTTCTGCATAATCTTCACATGAGCATAGCCAGGTAGGACCTGTTAAAAGATTTAAAATCTGGTCAATGTTTTACAAAAGTTTACAAGTAATAACTATGCTTTGGAATACAGTTTGAAACTGTGAGTTACTACTAATAATATAGTGCAAAATGTAGTTATTAATTGTCAAACCAGGACACATTCAAGGAAACATTTAAAAAATCTAATTTTTCCACTAAGCATGTATGATATTACAATAAGAAATTAAAAGATATGTCTAAATTAGAGCCAGGCAGGGGTGAGCATGGTGAGGCATTTGCCTCAGGTGAATAAGTAGAAGGAGCACCAAATTAGCCAAGAAAATACATAAATTTATTTTTAAAAAGAAATTTTGATTTTTAATTTCAGAATACATCAAAGAATATCAAAATAGCATTACAGCAATCCACGTGTGAAAAAAAAATAATGTTGATTTTTTCTCAAAAGAAATGAGTTTTCACAGGAGTGTACACCTTGCACACACACCACACCCACCCACCCACACACATACATACATACACACACACACACACACACACACACACACACACACACAAAAAAAAAAAAAAAAAAAGAGAGAGAGAGAGAGAGAGAAGAAGGAGGCAGTTCTTTATCTCCTGTTCTACAGGGCTGATTGTCAAAATTTAACTTGCATTTACTATATCTCAAAAGCATGACGTAAGATATATATTAGATTTATATTCTGATCTAGTTTATTCAGTAACTTATTTTTACTTTCATCAATTTATTTGACTTTTCATCTCATGTGGTTGATAGATCCACCTGCTCATTTATTTACAAGTTTGCTTGCTCTGCAAATTTATGTCTTTAGCATTTTCTATGAAGGCATCCTTCCACGAAAGAGGTACTGCTTATGGAAATTTTGCTCACAAAGATTACATATTGTTATGAAATGTACAGGTGCGGTAAGATGGCTTCCACGCAAAGCAGTTTTAGGGTTGCCATAAAATGCGAAGGAAGGCAGGGTTGCCGCATTTGGCAAGAAATCACCCATTTGGCGACAAAATTGGCGATATGACATAGATGCATGGAGAACCTTCTGGAATGAATTCTTACCAGTTTAGCGCAGAATGTTCTCGAACACAAGCCGAAAGCTATATAAACCCTGCTGGTCTGCAGTTGGTGGGTGTGCTTCATCAAGAGGGCCAGTCAGAGTCCCTCGTCTGGAGTGCGAGTAGTTAGTATCGAGTGTGTGTCTCGTCTAGCAAGTCAGTCCGTGTGGAGTCGATTGAGTTGACAGCTGGGCAGCAAGTGCCGAGTGGGTCATCGAATGCACCAAAGGAGTCTGTTAGTGTATCGTCGGGAGAGCGTGTTGAGCTTTGGGAACGAGTGAACCGAAGACTCAGGAGCTGTGCTCGTGTATCGTCGAGTGCATAGCGAATTGTAGCGTGGAGAGTCTCAAGAGTACGTGGAGTTCCGAGAACAACCAAGCAGAGTTGGGAGCTGTACTCTGGTGCAGGAAGCTGTTTCCACCTTTATTGCCTGACAGTATGAAGGCTGTGTCACTGATGTTCCAGCGTGTTTATAGTAGATCTTTGACGACTATAAAAAAGTGTTGTTGGAGCTGCTCTGATTAATATTGGCTAAATAATGTATGTTTCGATAATTCATCAAGTGTCGTCGTTTTCACTCCAAATCTACGAACCCCGTACGAAAGTGAAGGAAGAAAATAACATAACAACTGGTGTAAGAAAAGAAGAATAAAAAACACAACAATATATTAGCAATACTTTTTAATGCATGAACTAAATCCCACAATTCTGAAAGATGCTGCTGTAAATATCATCAAGAAAAATGGAACTTCCGATGTCCCAATATAAAAAATTGTCATTATTAAAACCAATACATAACTACATAAAAATCATGATAAGTACAGCAAATAACTTTAATTATCCTTGAAATAAAGCCATTCGATAATAATATTAAATTAAACCTAAAGTAAAAGAATAAAATAGATTCTGCAATTTATACCATGAATCAAATAAAACAAAAAAAAAAAAAAAAAATTAGCAGAACATATGTTTAGATGCTAGTTTCATATATATTTCCAAGAGTGCATATAATTCACAAGATTTTACAAAGGAGATGCTACTGTAAAGTATTGCATCCATTCAACTTAAAAAGGAAGACAGCATGAAACAAGGTAGTAAAAGTTTATAAGATTTATTTTATTATTATTATTTTTTAAATCTGAGCAAGGATTCATACCAAAATTTTTTAACACAAATGCAAGTGTTTCTCAAAGTCAACACATAATTAAGAAAATGCTGGTATTTTTTCTATTGCTTGCACTAACATTTGAAAGAATGATCATATAAAAGTGAGGCATATAACTGAGATGTTTCTGCATTTTTATTATTTACTTAAAATTTTTTCATCAAGAGAAAAGGATAACAGAATTTTGAAGTTAAGTTAAACCAATAAATAAAAACGTTTACTTATCCAAGTAATTAAAAAGCAGGCAACACTTAAATTGAATGAAAGCTTTTCCCAGCAGGAAATTGAAAGCACAAAAAATAATCAAAATAGAAATATATACTCACATTACAACTTTATTTACATATATATATGCCTTCAGTCAGTGATAGCTCTGAGCTCTTCCAGTCTTTTTAAAACTTCAGAGAAAGTGGGTCGGTTTTCGGGTTCTAAGTCCCAAGCTTGTTTCATGATATCATATATTTCTGTAGGACAACCTTCTGGAGCTTCCATCCTGTAGCCTTTCTCCACATGCTTTACAACATCTGCCAATGGCTAAAATAGGGAATATACTATAAATTAATTTTTAGAACAAAGCTCTTTCTGATATCAAAATAAAGAACGTTTTAGGAACAAATAAGAATTAAGTATGTTTACTAATATTTAAATATATTTTATTTTTAATAACCTAATAATTATACTAAGTATATTTGTCTTTACAAGGTCTTTTCTGTTATGCTCTCTCTAATACATACTGCAAATCACCAGGAAAGGATTAACAAAATTTCCCAGAAACAGTTTTCAAGTTAATTTCCCTGTTTTTTCCAGATATCACTATCATAGAGCTGATAACAAGAAGTCATTATTCAGTTAAAACTTATTACAAAATGTATAACTAATGTGTTTTGTCTTAGATAAAATTCTATAGATAGTGAGCTATTGTTATTTTACACTTTACCATTATTCAGTATCCCACATTGAGTCACTTAGAGAAAGCATAATACTGAATGAATTGTAACTTTACTTATTAGCAATTTTGATTTGTATCACTTGAACAGCACAGAAAAAATACAGTATACCAAAAGTTTTCTTAACTCATTTCTGTAAAGGATTTTTTTTTTTTAAAATTTTATATTTTTCCTTATTTGGGGGGGGGGGGGATCTTACAAAAATTTTGTTTCAGCAATTTTGTATAAAAGCTTCAATAAAAACTACTTCAAAATCTCTCCCCCCACTTATTTGTTTCAATCAGTTAATTAATCTGCTTTTTTAACAGCTCTAAATTTATATAAATTAAGCTGTTAATTATGATAAAAGTTTCTAACTCTAATATAATATGAGAAATACGTTTATGTTTTGAATCCTAACAATACACTGAGTTATGAGCTGATTTTAGAAATCTAGTTGTCCTTTATAAAACAAAATATTTTTGATTATGAGTTACTTTTATTCACATCCACAAGTAATGAAAAATATAGTCTAAGAGGGGAAAATAATATGAAAAGACAAAATGAAGCAAACAGAAAGGTAGATTCACTGGGGTGACTACATGAAATTTTTTAAATTTATGACTGAATTTTATACTTTTTGTACTGTGACCCAAAAGTCTGTTAACACTTGAAAATTCATTAATTCATGGAATAATGTAGATACAGAGGTAAAAATTGACATGCATACTTGGAATGACATCGAGTTTCATTGAAAGAAAAAAAAAAGTACCAACATATAATGCAGGGCAGCAAAGTGTCAGTGGCACTGCATGAGAATTGTGTATGAATTGAGCAGTACTGAGAGAGGAAATCAGTCTCTTTATGACTTTGTCAGTTTTCTATCCTCACCTCTGGATGTTGGTCATAGTGTGATTCAGATTTATCACATCAATCATGATTGGACCCTTTTTCTTTGACAAAATGTCTATTCTGCTATTCAAACTGTCAGTGTGACCAGTGCCACATATGCTGGTATGTTGCAGAACCACATCATCCCTAGTCTGGTTGATAAAGACCTGTTGGAAGGTATGACTTTTATGCAGGATGACACTACACCCCATATTGCTAAACATGTGAAAGATCTCTTGCACGCATCATCTAGTAAGGATCAAGTGCTGAGACATCACTTCCATTATGCTTTGCTTTTCAGGTCCCCAGATTTAAATTCATGTGATTATTGGTTGTGGGGGGTTAACAGAATTCGCAAGTCTACCGCAATCGTCTGACCTCATTAGAGATGCTAAAACACAACATCTGACGGTAATTTTTTGTCATGTCTACAGATATGTTGTACATTGCTGTTCACAACACTGCCCCTTGACTATACATACTGTTGATGAATGACAGCCGACACACTGAACATTTGTTAAAAGGAACATAGTCTACTAAAAATCAATTGTTATGCTAATGACTGATTTTGTTATCATATGGAGTGCCATCTGTTGGTTGTTTTAAGCACTTTTTTTTTGGCTTTCAATAAAACCCCCATGACATTTCAAGCATGTGTGTCAATTTTTACTTCTTTACCTGCATTATTCAATGAATTATTGACCTTTTAAATCCTAATGGACTTTCGAATCACCTTGTATACCTCAATGAGCATTTAAATTTAACAATACTGACAGAAATTTAGTATTAATATATACACCATTTACTTTCAATATGAAAACAGCTTATAAATACTAATGAAGTAGATGTCTTCACCATGGAAATATCGAATATGAATTCTGCCATTTCTATTTTCAGTCAAAAACAAAACATCCTAGGATGATAAAACATTACATGAAGAATAAAAAAGAAAAGTAAAAAAAGCTTCTAAATTAATTTTATACTTACTATTCTTGGATAAGGCACACGACCAAAAGAATATATTTCCCACAGCAAAATTCCAAAGCTCCACATATCAGATTTATTTGAAAATTTCTGGGGTTGGGGGAAGAAAAGAAAAATTATGAAAGAATTCTGTTAAAAAAAATTTTTTACAAGAAAAATGTTATAACTTTTGAAATGTTCTAAGTATGTTAGGCATATAAATGTATGATTTTATGCATTATGCAGTTTAAACACTGATATTCTAGAATGTGTGGAACATACACTATGTCGTAAAGCTTCTGGGGCAGTCCATTTTATCGGAAATTTTCCACCTTCAAGGTTAAAAGATTTTTCTCTAGCTAACCCAAAATCACAAACCTGAAAATAAAAGAAAACTTCATGAAACATATAATATATATAGGCTACAAAATATTTTATCAGCAGTGTATGAAAAACTTCAAATCTGCATTTTTTTTTTTTTTTTTTTTTTGCTATATTTCACTTACAAGCATTTTCTATGATGCCTTTTAATAATTTGCAGTATGCAAAAATGAGAAAAAAATCATATTATCTGAGATACTTGTGCAATAACTGCTATGCAGATATCATTAAAAAAATCCACCCGCTCCAGAGTTTTGCCAGTAATATCATACAATGTTATTTCTAATATAAATTTCATCTTGGAAAATTCATAAAAAATTATGAAGATGTAAATTTTTCTCTAACATTTATGTTTAGTTTTTCAGTAATTTATTATTTTTAAGCTCTTACAAAAACAGTGTTATTTGCATGATATTCTGACACATTTCAAAGCATTATACTAATTATTTAAAAAAATTTTCTAATCATCTGATGTTAACACTTTTTAAAAATCTTTTCAATTCATTTTACCGTAATTTCCGGAAGAAAGGCCGCATCAGCGTAAACGCCGCACTCGAGAAAAATGGCGGGAAAAAAATTAAAATTACACAGAAACGCCGCAATAGATTAAATTGCGCTTGACATTGTCGTGGGCCGTATAGATGCAAAAACTCAACCTAAGTCCTGATATATGACATACCAGTTAAGAAAAATGCATGAAATGAAACCATAACTCAAAAATAAATTAAAGGTAAGAAATGTATAGCTTCTGTGCCGTTTAGGTGACCATTTTCAAAAATTTTCCGCTCCCTTCTTACTTAAAACTATTCCAACAAGTACTTGCACCCAAACTGATGGGATATGTATTTGGCAGAATGCCAAGAAAAATCCATTTTGTGCTGAAGGGGAAATATGTCCAGAGTTCATTATGGCGAATGCAGGTGCAGTCGTGTCCCACCTTTGAAAAAAGTTGCAGTAGAATTACAATGGAAAAGGCAGGCGGTGGGGAGAGGATGAGTCCTGGAAGATTCATCGAATGGCAGAGGGAAGAGAGACTATTCAAACTGATGAGAACGCTGATTTGAAAGGGGGAAGAATGTTATTGTTCCGAGATCTCCATTTAGGATGAATAAGGCATGTAGGTCTGTTCAAGGGAAAGAATGTAAACAAAATAACGTTCGCAAAAATCAACTGAGTGGTCTTTTGTGTGCGAACAGCACCAGTCTATGCACGATGACAAGGCCATCCAAACTATGTATAATGACCATCATAGGAAATATTTTATTTTTAGTGCACCTAAACGCCGCACCCGCTGAAAATGTAAGTTTTAAACACATAAACGCCGCGGCGTTTCTTCCGGAAATTATGGTAATTACTATACATTGTTTACAATATAATGACTTTATTTTTATAAATATATAAAAAATATTCAATGATGTAAAAAACCTCCGACATCACATGCTTTCCAACAACACTGGATTTCACAACTAATTATAGATTATCACACAGTTGCAAAAATTCAGTCTGCTTATGAAGACATACTATAAAAATAAAAATGAAATATCAGTATATATAACTAATAAACGTTTTGTGAATGAAAGTTAAAATATTTCTCCCCCTAAAACAAATAAAATTTCAAATGGATTTCCCTGCATTTTTAAGATAATAGGTTAATAATTATAGATTATCACACAGTTGCAAAAATTCAGTCTGGTTATGAAGACATACTATAAAAATAAAAATGAAATATCAGTATATATAACTAATAAACATTTTGTGAATGAAAGTTAAAATATTTCTCCCCCTAAAACAAATAAAATTTCAAATGGATTTCCCTGCATTTTTAAGATAATAGGTTAATTTTGATTTAAGAAAAAGATATGTCTAACTTTCTTAATAAGATAATGTTAGAGGTAAATTTTGAACTGAAAGTGATCAATCTTTTATACTGCATGTGGAAGAAATAAGAAAACAGTTTGTTCTACTTGAAATGAATTGAATTTGATTGAAATTTGCAGTGTTTAGTAAATTTATTCTTTCAGCCACGGTGTTAAAGAACTTGATTTTATTTATTATATTTTAAAATAAGGTTATCAGTCATCTTAGCTAACTTTCTATAAAACTGAAATTAACTTTAAAAACCATGCATAATTTTTCTGGAATATATACACTTTTAATATGGAACAGAAAATTAAAAAATATGTAAATAAAAATATAATTTAAACTACTAGTAACCCCCTTAATTGCCCCTCTCTATTCTAAAAACCACAATACTTTTTCTGGACTGTGCCATTTCTAGATTATTCCATCTTGTATCCCTTATATAACATTGATGACATAGCTAAGTCAAACCCAAAAATTTTGAGAACTGAAACTTTCTAACTTGAACCTGGTGAGCCTCCATATCAGATAACTGCACACTTAAGTTTCAGCTTTCCTGCAACCAAGAAGCTACTTTGCTTTGCCGTGCTGCTAACTACGCCATTATCTAAAATGTGATACACTATTAAAAATTGTGGGGTGCATATTACATCCATGATCATGTGTAATGAAAAATATGTTTCAATAATTAGTTCATGTCTAACAAAAAAAAAATTATATTCCATTCAGCCCAGCGCTTAATCTATGAATCTTGGTGAGAGAGAACGTTCTCTTTGACTCTGGCTCTTTGCTGATATAATTATAGCCATCAAGCGGATGTGTGTCAGGGGTAAAATGAGTCCTGAATCTGACTCCTAAGTATGAATGTAAAGTTGGTGGTTACGCTTTCGCTCCCCATATTTGGTTGCATTAGTGGATACTGCCTGAAGACGATGTATAGAACGCACTTGAGCTGTTTATCTCAGTATTTTACTTTTATTGTACTCACTGTCACTTAACGCACATTTAAGAACACAAATTTTCCTTCCTGTGAGGATAACCATTGATAACAATACACTAGATACCATGGCATGGTGAGAAATTTATAAGTTCCTAAACAAACTCCCCCAAATTTATAGCTCTTCTTAAAGGGAAAGATTTCCGCATGCGAGTGATGAGACTTTACTTACACGTCTTGTGTTCTCATGAGCTCGTATTTCTAGGGAAATAGAGTACTGCAAGATCTGCTTATTGTTAAACTAAAACGTTAGGAATTCATTTTTTTTCCTTGAAATTGTGGCTCAATTTTATAAAAAGAAGTACCAGAGCTCATCTTGTTTAGAGCTCCGTTATGCTTCGGCTAGAATTGTAATTTATTTTAATTGAGAAGTACCAGAGCCGGGCTCCGGTGCAATTTAAGCACTGATTCAGCCACGTCTGTCTACAAGTCTCTCTTTCAAGTATCATCTTTCTAACTATAAAGTAGTCTCTCCATATTACAATGCAGACAACCATCACCAATCCATTGCTGCTTTCTCCAAGTCTTCCTGTTATATTTATATAGTCAGCACTCTTCCAGGAAATTGCCAGTACAGTCACACGCCGTTAATCCGGACCTCAAAGCTACAAATTTTTTGCGCATGCATGTAATACCTTTACACATGCGAATAATACGTTTATGCATGCGCGTTTAATGTATAACAGACGGTACAAACTAGGCTAAAATTATCTAATTATCTATTTCAGTTAATGTTGCAGATTGCGTTGTTCCTTAATCTTCAAATTGGATCCGGCTTATTATTTTTTGCAGACCTTTAGAGCAATTTTATAAAGTTGGAACTTTCGATTATGTCAAATAGAATTTCCAATGCTGGATAGACAAAGGGAAAGAATGTTTCGATGTCCATCAAACAAAAAGTGGAATAGCTGCAAAAAACTGATAAAGGCTCCTTTGTTTTCTAACCATTCCGAAATCTGTTTATCAATTTCACGCTGCTCTGAGGGGATCTTCAGGGCAGATGTTTTTATTTTATTCGGCTTATGATTCCTTACTAAATGTAGTATTTCATCTCGATGTACTCCGTCTTTGATATGATTAAAATCAAATTCCTCATCATTATAAATATCATGAATACAAATCAAATAGTTTTCTGGTTGCAATTTTCTAATTTCGACTACGCGTAATGTATGCTTTACTCATGCGTGTTGAAAGAAATGTTCAATATAGTAAACAAATAAATATTAAACTTTTTTTTTGGTAAATTTTGATACCCTTTAGATCATAATTGCTCTTTATTTCATAAATTACGGTTTCATATTTTTAATTTCTGCATGCCACCTTACCAGATTTAAACTGATGATCTATAATCCGAAAAATCGATAATCAGGAATCGCCGTAGTCGAACGAGTCTGGATTAAAGACTTTTGACTGTAATTTATTTACTTTTCTATACACGTATTGTTCTACCTTATTTTTATGTATGTACTATTCTCCTTCTTTTTATTTTATTTTCATATGTTTTTGAGGCATAAGCAATATAAATATTAAATTTATTTTAAGTTTATTAAAAATTTTAAATAGTTTTATCATAGTTCTCTTAAGTTTTCACATTTCTAATTTAAATTAGCAATAGTAGATTTATACTTCCTTTCCTAGGACATAATCATAAAAATTACTACCACTTGTTGTTTTGTATTAGCTGAGAAATATTTGGCGACAGAGGAGAATCTTGTCTAATAGAGCATGCGCTACCTGAAATATATTCTGTGAGAAACTTGATTTTTGTTGTACATTCGAAGTTGCGATTCATATGTTACACTGTAAGAAAGAAACCTAGCACCAGAGTGTCGCTATGGAAAATAAATTTATTGAAAGTTAGAGCAGGTATTTCTGTGTAATGTGTATGCTGTTATTTTATTGTGATATATAGCTATCGACGGGAAACAGAAGAAGTCAAAACAAGTTTTTGGCCGGTCAGAGCCGGAACAGCTAATGAAGTTTATGCGACTGTGATATTACTTTCAGTTCTGTGAAATGAAGGATTACTTTGGATACTTCCAGATTGAAGTTCTGTAGAAACAAAATGGTAAGTACCTTCCCCCTTTTTTGAAGCTCATTGTACATTTTTGAAGTTCTTTATTTGTTTATTGACTTTTGT